GGGGCCACAGGACCCGGGGCCTGCTTTAAGGCCCCGGAAAATGTTGGATTCTGGATGCACTGTGATGAAATATACTGTATATACTAGTATATACTTAAACTTATAAAACCCGAAAGGATTTTTTTGGTTCAAGTTAAAACAAAATGGTTCCACTGGTAGCGGGTGAATTTCTGTTCATAAAAATATTCACATAGGCCTAAACGATGTAGCTCTTGATATATTTGCAGTGTTATTTGTTTGTGACAGGGAATGGCAAATATAAAAGACTAACAGACCAAATGCATCTTTAAATTTATGTTTATGATCGGTAGGTGGCAAGTTTTGGGCTAGTCAAGGATTTATCGGTCTACTGAGTTTTTAAGAGAAAAAACTTGCAGAGGTTACTCATGAATAGCTTTTTTATTAAAACGAAACTACACTGGAACTAGTTTCAATGGAAGCCCGTCCCACTCCTATTACGTTGGGATGTGTGTGAACCTTGCTATTTGTTAATGTTGAGTACAGAATGCTAACAACGTCAATGAAACTTTTAAATGAAAAGAAAAACCTTCAGGGGAAAGGTATGAACTTAGCCCCTATTGAAAGATCGAATGAAAAAAATCGTGGCAAGCATAATCAACTTTGCCACCATTGTCATGGCCGAGGTTATTTTTTTCAGGTCAAAGCTTCCATCACGGCGGAAATATAGACATGTCATGATTTGAGATTCATTGAGAGAAATGAAAGCACTGCCTGAAGATTTAGAAAATACCTCCTCCTGATATTTTACAGTGTTGCTTTGTGCTAGAAGTTCGAAGCGCCGCGCTAAGCCGCGGCAAAACTAGAAACGAAAAAAAAATGAAGGAGATATTTGTAGAGCAAGCATAATGTATAGCGCAGCGGCGCAATTTCAACGTCGTAGAACACTGCTGGCTGGAACACATTTTTGCCCGGGAGTAGGGGGTGCTGAAGCATATTTCAGCACCCCAATCCAAAAAGTTCGGGGTGCTGCAGCACCTACAGCACCCCCCGTTCCCGCGGGCTTGTTATTTCTCATTTCGGACTGATTAACCTTGTTCTCAATTCGGACTATCGAACCTTCGGATAAATAAACCTTCAGACTAATGAACCTTGGGATTAATGAACCTTCGGACTATTGCATCAAATGTTTGGATTAACGAACCCCCTCTTATGGAAATTTTGTGCATTTGAACTATCGAACCTTCGGACTAAAGAACCTTCGGACTTTTGGACCTTCGGACTATCGGGCGGCCCCCGTTTGTAATACATTGTTAAAGGACGTACCATCACCATTTCCGGCCACTCTGTTAATCTGTTTCCGGTTACCACGTTCCTTTCTGTCTGGCTCCTAACCCATACCTCATTACCCGTAATAAACAACACATATAAGAATGTTACGTCTTCCAGCTATAGTAAATGGTCAAAACAAATGGATGTGGTAAAGACCAAATTCAAGGAGCCGCAAAATTTCACACAATTTATTTTCTGCGTGACAAATACAAATACCGTCATTGTAGCACTTTTGTCCATAATCAAAAATGCTTAGATTTTTCAAGAAAATTTGAAAATAGTGACGTCACTGCAACAGCAAATCAGCTTATTGTTACTTAAATGTCACTGATTATGTCACTCTTCAATTCCCTGAACCTCAAAATTTCAAATTAATTACTTGGAATCTCATCACAACGCTTCACGACCTTATTTCTACAATTAATTACTGTATGAGCTCGGTAGTATATTGTGACGTCATAAAGTACCCTTCCTTTCATCCGATTTTTTGCATCCTACCCTTTTTTTGATCGTAACACATTGGCAAAGCTTTGGTGAAAAAACTGGTGCTTTTAAATACCATGTAACGATCCTTAGCATTTTTGTTACTAATGTAGCTCGCTATAAAGATGCCTCACTTTTCCGCTTATCTTTGGAACAAGTTTAAACGTATATATGATACTAATAATCAATTACAAAAACTCTTTTGGCATAGAATTTGAACTTTTCTCTTGAACTTAAAAACAACATCTCAAAATACCACATACTGTTTGCATGTTAAAACAAAGTGTCAATGTGACTACCCAAAATCCATGATTTTAGCCTTAAAAAACATGTCTTTTGACCAAAATAGGTTTTTTTGACCCACAAAATCACCCTTAACTATATTCCATCCCCATGACGTACCACACAAATGAAAGAGCGTGCTGTCCCCTTTAATTTGATACCAAATGTGTTGTTGTAATGCTTGTAGTTCTGAAGATTATTATCAATTTATATTTTTTCATGTAATAATTAGCTGATGATGTCACAATGACGTCATTCATGCCCTTCCCATCATCCAATTTTTTGCGTCCGTCTTTTTTTCGAAAAGGTATACCCAGGAGATGCTTTTGTGAAAAAATTGTGCTTTTGTCCACTGTGTCACGATTTTTTCACTAAGGTACCTCACTATTTGCCATTCCCTGTAACAAATAACACTGCAATTACAGAGCTAAATCGTTTGTTGAGTCAGAACTATTTTATTGGCTAGTCGAGTTGTTAATATTTTTTATGAACAGAAATTCATCCGTTTCCAGTGGAACTATTTGTTTTAACTTGAAGCAACAATCTAGATTATATTTCTTGCTATTGAATTTTGAGGATTTTTTTTAAGTTTAAAGATATTTTCATAGTAACTTCCGGTCTGATGACGTCATCAATTTTTTTTCACACACAGATCTTGTTTGAATAAATATCATCATATATATTCCTTTTCAAGCATGGCTGCAAACTTCGCCACACACATCAACTGAAAATTCATTTTCAACATTTTTCAACCTGACGCTAGAGGGCGCTCTAACATTTTATGACGTCACCGGTTATTTTTTTGGTGAAGTACAACCTAGCCACAGACTAACATTGTTAAAAGCAAGTTCACATCTTGTTCCATTTTTAAATAATTAGCCACTTCCGGTTTGGACCGAAAGGAAGGGTCACGTGATTTTACGCACACAAGATAAAATGAAGACCCTGGATTATTATATCAATTCCTGCCAAAATCACGTTCAGGTTTCCTATGCTTGATTTTATATTGATTTTTAAATATTAAATGTAGAAAACTTTAACGTTATGTCACATGACCCATGATGACGTCATGATGGCGTCACTCTTCGGGACACAACTGTGCTATTCGCTCTTTTCATACTTCCGCCATGGGCATGCAGAGCCTCGATCTGGCAACTTTACACAATAAATATAGCCGGCTCAGTGATTCCCGTGTCGGAGTTCAGATCACTGAAGTCGTCGTTGGTGGCAGCAGACAAAACATAGTAAATCGTGACGAAATAAACAGGACTTGTTTATACATCGCTGCATTGGGAGGTGAAATTGAGGTGAAATTGATTCATTTACCTGACCGCATAGAGACTCGTGAAAAAAATTATTATGCGGAAAAGACCAAATCATTGAACAAACATAGACCTCGTGATTTTTGGTCTTCTTTTTCAGCCTTTTCTCCATAGTATTAGTACCCGTTTTTTTCTTACACCAGCACACTTTCGTAAATCTGATCGACATCATTACTTGGTGCAAACGTAGACCCATCATCCGATTATCCCTTTCGGATAGAATCCGTTTTTTTTATTAAATAATTTACCGATGCCTATCAATTGATTCATTCATATATTTTCAAGCTAAAATTAATAGTACAGTCGTTTGACCGGTTCCGCAATCGCAAATCGTCTGAAGCGTCTTGTGGCGAAAAAAACGCGCTTTCACAGGAAGCTACCTATCTATAATTATGCGCAAATTACTCACCTACTTCATGATATGAATAGTTTTCTGCGATCGTTTAAAAGAGAAATTTGTTAGGACATTTTGTAGAGGTTAGTGCTTTGACCGGTTCCGCAAACGTTTTCCGGTTTCGCAAACAGCGCCCTCTGCGAGACTGGACTGAAATTATTCCTCGTTTACTGGCCAAATCTAGATCGTTTTTGCCCCCAAACCAGCCAAGAAAAGATGTGGATTATATTTCCCTGTGCATGAGCCAAGGTCTGCACATTATCATGCGTCCAAATTTATAAAATGTAACTCCATGAAGTTGTTATGGTTCGTTGGATCTTTTTTTACGTTATAATTATTTGACTTGCTTCAATCCAATTATATGACTTTCTTGCTTTTTGTGCATTCTGTCAATCATCTTGCAATCACTTATATTTTTCTTTTTTGTTGTTGTCTTATTCTTATTTAGACACACTCTGACTTTTGATAGAACCAGACACAAACCTTGTACCGAATTGCTCCAGTTGGTTGTTTTTTTTCTCACATAAGCACAGACTAGCTATTTATGAATTTGAATTAATATTTTCTCCAGGATCATTTTTAATTCCTATGACACTTGATAGGCAGTATGAATGCGTTTGCGGAACCGGCCAAACGACCAGCGGTTACTCTGATGGGTATAGAAAAAAATTCAAAGACTTCAAATCTTATATTTATATGGTGGAATAATGAATTATTTCCGAACAAGTTGCATCTATCGCCATGATTTAATTCCCCTGAACAATCGTGTAGCAGGCCGACAAACATGAAATCACGCTTCCGTGCGCGTTCCATTTCGGCAGTTCGTTAACGGCAAGTGACGGTCGTAGGGGATTTATTTTTAAATGTGAGTGAGTATCCTAAAACCAAAACCATTTTTGAAAAGTAGATTGAATAACCTTTCCATCGGTACCAAAGTTTAAGTCCTAGATAGTTTTCCGAAATTGCGGAACCGGTCAAATTGCGGAACCGGTCATTGACTGTACATGAAACATACAAAATTACAGAGCTTTAACGAAGGAAGACGTTACGGTAGACAAGCCAGGGTATTATTGAAGTTCATCACTCTCGCGATGGACGTATCATGTTTGCTTCTTCAAAAAATATTTTCGTAATTTTGTGTCATGCTAAAAGATTGACTTGTACTTGTCTTGTGTGCCATTATGTATATTAAGATTGTATTTTCTCCATCTTCTATGCATAATCTCCAGTGTGTACGACCGAAGGACCAATGGACTGCTCATCACCTCATGGTAAGATCAATTTCATTTATGAAGAGAAATTACAAACAGTGCTTTTTCTAACAGGAAAGTTTCATACATGTGGGCATCACTTTTTTTCTCATGTGGTGTTGGAGACAAACTGGTAAATTGTGAATAACTAAGAATGATACGTTTCCAATATACAGGGTGAGTAAAAAAAAAACCACTAAACCTAAATGACCGGACCAATTTTGGAAAGAAGTTTTGCATGTAGCACTTTCAAAATCTAGGATATGAAAGCCCAATCAATGAGCTTTCTGTTAGTATAAAAATCATTGAAATCACTTTAATTTACGGAATTATAAACACAAACACTGTTTTAAGGTTCTGTCCATGTATCACAAAAAGTTAAGTGTTATTTCTGCAGAACGAAACAATTCACATAGGGATGCATGTGAATTGTGTTTTTTCCCTCACCCTGTAGAATCTAATGATACAGTTTGCACTTAGAAAATATAACAAAGAATACAACATCCCACGTTTTTTTTCTTCGAATTAAGTGGCAATGAAAGTAAGGGTCTACTCTGACGGTTCAAAGTGAAACAAACATTGTTTCTCAGTGGAGAAAGAGAGGGTTAAGTTGTTCGAAAGAGTTTCAGTAGTTAGGCTCCAAGCTCAGTTTTAGATCCCATCATTGCCAAGCCCTTTATGTTGAGATTGACGCAAAAATAACGGTGACATATTAAGCATGAACGAAAAGTAAGGATCGTCCCTAATATGCCGTGCCACTACATTCACATTCATATAATAGGGCCAATAAAGCATCGTACCGAAAACAATTTGCGGGTTTTTTTTAAAGTATTTGTTATTCAAGTATTAGCTGACTTGATATAATGATATTTGCATACTGGCAAATCTTTAAGCTCAGATGTGGAACCTGACTGCATAATGAACCCCTTTTAAAGAAAAAAAATCAATTGAGGGCGCACTAATCATTTGTAAGATTCACAGCAACGTTGTACGATGACAAATCCATCATGTTTGTTGATAAATCGGTTTTATCAACCCTTGCACCCCTCTAAATATACAGGGGGAGTAAAAACAAACACCTTTCTTTCAGCAAAACGAAAACAATTCACACACATCCCTGATTTGTTTTCGTTGTGATTTGTTTTTGTTTTCCCCACAAAAACACTTACTTTTTGTTTAATCCGTAGACAGAACTCTAAAACGGTAGTTGCGTATAAAATTCCGTAAATTGAGAAGTACCAATGAGTGCTTTGAATGATTCTGGTACTAAAAGAAAGCTTATAAATTGGGATTTCAAATCCTAGATTTTGAAAGTGCTACATGCAGAACTTCACTTAAACAATGGTCCCGACATTTAGGTTTCGTTTATTTTTTGACTCGCCCTGTATGAAGGTCTTTCTCCCAGATTCTGACTTGGGATGAGGAGGTACAATGTTTCCGGAAGTGTTAGATCGTGTACGGTGGGAATGTCAATCCGATACTTTGATAACAGTTCTAGCAAGACAAGAAGGTGCTGGTCCAGTTAAACATCATACTATTGGTATAAGTATTTAATTTTTTCGGTAATTTAATGTTTTCCAGCAAAGCAACTCATTGACAAGAGAGGCAGATGTTCTTTGAGGTACTTTAAGTGTGACTCTTCCTGCTATATTCAAAAGTTTATCTAAACGTTTAATATGCGTTTTTGCTGCAGTGTTCAAGATCAAATCACCGTAATCGGACTGCGGGGATATTAAAGTTTTAACTAAGAGATTTAACGTATCAATGAGAGGGACATTTTTGATTATGATAAGGAGACCATAACGTTTAGAAATAGAAAAAACACATAGATGATTAATCTGATCTGACCACCTGAGATGCGATTCTATATATAAAACACCAAGGTGTTTAATAAGTTTTGGGGGTATTGAGAGAGAGTCTGTTTGCACCATGGCTTGATTTAATTAAGCCGGTTGTTTAGGCCTATTCGTTCAATGTCTGAATTGATTTTTTATTAATTACCATCTTTATTAGAGTAAAAAATGCAGTACTGTCTGCTTACATGACTATTTAGAACGTTCATCTGATGGCAAATCATTGATAAAAATGGAAAGCAGCAATGATCCAAGTATAGGGTGATCTTTGATGACGTCACGGACTTGTTTTGGGGCCATCTTGGATTACAAACACGCATGGACGATCAAATACCAGACGCAGTTTGGGGGCAAAATGTACAGCGGTTTTTTAGCACATTCGTTCGGTTCTGTCTTGAGTCCGTGTGGTAGTATAGTATTGTATATGTCGGCATTCCATCTATGGAACTCTCCGCTTGGTGGAGCCCCCAAGGAAATGGACAATACCAGGGTACGAAATCAAGGTGAAAATTACGGCTCTTCATTCCATGTATTGTGTAGGGGTCAAGACGCTTATCATCTGCAGAATCTGGTCTTAACGGGCTTATAGGAATTCTTCTCTGGGTTTTTATTATACAAATATAACATGGTTTGAGGGTGGACAGTCGATATTCGCTCCCCGAGGTATTGGAAGTTGACAAACTAGTTCCCGAGGCGAAGCCGAGGGAACTAGTTTGTCAACTTCCAATACCGAGGGGAGCTAATATCGACTGTCCACCCGAAATAAACCATGTTATATTTGTTTTACTATACCTCATACATATTCAGTTGCCGAATTTTGTTTTATTATTATGCACCTAAAACAAAATTTGGGGAAACTTGTACAGCTCACCAAAAGATTCAACTTCAATTACTAGTTCGGTTCGTTTGCAATATAATACAGTTACTACAGTTGTAAATACAGTTGTTTGCAATGTGTACAACTTTCTTTAGTACAGGAGACATCTTTACACGGTCTATACATTTTTTCCAGTACGGCATCATTGAGCTCTGTAAATTAACATTTACGCGAACCGTGCAACCATGCATCTCTCCTGTGCGACGTTCGCGCGTGCGTACTGCACCCGTGCGACAGTTCCTCGATTGCTCTGTAAAGCGCATGCGTAGTAGACTGTCGCACGGGTAACCCATGCGACAGTCTACTACGCATGCGCATTTACAATGTGCGTGAATCCTCGCGCGCGCGTTTGGTAAACAGCAAGAATAACATCTGGCACGTGATGGTGAATTGACCAGTGAACGTTCGGCTCTCGATCATGAATATGTATGAGGTATAGTAAAACATGATGATCGTGCAGCATGCGTAGCCATGGTACACTAACTTGCTTACTTGCTTATGTACTCTTGTAAATGTCACATTTTCATGACCCAAGTCTATAAAGTTAACGCCTTGTGCCCTTGAAAGAATTTTGAGATGTAGGGACATCATATTGACGTCTGATACTTTGGAAGAGGACAATAAACTTGGTATACCTCAGTTGTCACTATTTATCATATTTAATCGTCAAAAGCCAAGACACAAGATATGTGTTTAGAAATGTGTTGATGCCATAGAGCTATATTAAAGGGGCACTAGGTCCTGAATTCCCCGAAAATGTTATGTTTTGGATTGTTTACTCAGCCTATTTCAAACATCTGGTTGAAAGGAAACCAACCTAATGTCTTACCGTTCCCGAGAAAAGACAAAAAAAAACCCGCTTGAGTTTACATCGGACATGACGGAGTACGAATACGTTTTTCGTGTCGTTCTCATGTACGCTATGCACGTTGTGTGTCTCGGGAACAGCGCGCGGATCTCAGATTCACAGTTACATTGTACTACCCTTTTCTCCCTGTTTATGCTTTTAAAGTGAAATCAATGCAAAAAATTGTGGTTTCTTCAACGTCCGCAAAAGGCGAACACTTTACGCGTACGAATGCAATCACAACTAACATTCAAACAGCTCGAATTTATGGGGTCGCAAAAGTGGACCCCGAAATTCGTTCTCGCACGCATAATACAGGAATAACACAAAAACGCCCAGTTTTGAAAGGATAATTGTGTGGATGTTTATATCCTACTTTTAAAAGTTATTTCCGATTATCATCATCTCGTTCAAAGCGCGTTTTGTAGCCCAATTGGGCTGTTCCAGGACCTAGTGTCCCTTTAATATAGCTCTATGGTTGATACATACTCTCGGGCGCTATTTTTACAGTCTAGTTTCCGTTTCAGAAATTCTATTTCCTTTTGCCGAGCCCGACGCAGTTTACCTGGCTTCAACCGATGAAGGCACATCTGTTGAAATCCCACTCCCCTTCAACATGGCAGTCTTTGACCAGAATCACGGCTCATTATATGTGAGTTTGTTTAATGTTATCCTCGGTAACGACCGTACAGTCGGTCTATCTCAGATTCACAGTTACATTGTACTACCCTTTTCTCCCTGTTTATGCTTTTAAAGTGAAATCAAACGACATACATCTCTACTATAATTCCAGGCATCTCTGTGTGTCTGTCTGTTTGTTTGTCTGTCTGTCTGTCGGTCTGTCGTGCTGTCTGTCGTGCTGTCTGTCTGTCCTTCGAATATCTCCAGAACCGGGCACCGTTTGAAGTTGAAAATCGGCGGGTGTATTGCTCGGGACAGCAGAATGTGCAGTGCCGAGTTAATAGTTGTTTGGACGAGCGGTTCTCGAAAAAGCTGCAAAAAAACCCCGGAAAATTGGCCCCATTTTCCTCATAAAAGATAAACAGTTTGGCTTGTGTAGGCGCAAGTGCGTATTGCGCCACTGAGTTGTGTGACGTCACAATTAACACTACGTGAGTGTGTGCATGGAGCTAGCTGACTTTCACTGGGGGCTATTCCATTATCAACAATGGGTACTTCACTGGGGGGGGGGGCTATTCCATTTTCAACAATGGGCAAATGAACAATATCACTCTTTTCTTTCTCATTACTTTTTAATTGTCTGTCCACATGTAAAAAGAAATGTGCTTTCAACCTTTGAGTGTGCGTTCAACCTGTGACCAACATCATTGAATCGTGTGCGTTGTTTGCATGAGCAGTTCTCGAAAACGCTGCAAGCAACCAGTACCAGCGATCAAGCAATTTGCCCCTCCCGAACAGGCACATTTTCAACTGGCCCTGCACTAGTTTTAATAATACCAATTGTTGGCAGTGTTTTCGGGTAGTCTCAAAGAGAGATGTGTATCTTATTCATGAATGGCTGAATATCAGTGACAATTTTAGTGAACGTGGTCAACACCCAGACCGATCGTTGGCTGAAAAATAACCTTGTCAACCTTTCCCGTTTTTGTGGGAGACAAGAACTGATCCAATGGGACTTTTTTTTTTACTCGCCCTGTTTCAGTGTAGATCGCACCCGTCTACTCAGGCATCTACACTCGCATATTTACGTTTAATACCTAGTTGTGGGCATTTTGTTGTTTTCATGTAGTTATAAAAAAAACCTGTAAGTTTTACTCGCACTGTGAAAATTCTTCCAACCCATGTTTTTCTATGATTCCGTGTAGTATTCTCTTCAGTTTGTAACAAATGAACCTAACACAAAATATGACTCTATACATGTTTTCCAGAGAGGGGAATTAAAACATTGTGTGGACGTGGGCAAGTCCACACAACGTCGCTGCTACTTGGTTTATGCGGACATCTTTTGTTCGGAAGTCCACACAGGTCAATGTTATGCTTGTACACTCGTATGTTTCCATGTACCTATTTTCTTGTCATTTGTTTCTATACCTATTTACCTTTTACAGGTGAACATCAATGGATCGATATCCTTCGATGGCGCCCAAATTCCTTTCGTTAACATTCCCCAGAGTGGCAATAAACATCTTATTCTGCCCTTCTTCTCCAATATAACGACTGAACGAGTTGGATTTGTGACCTATCGTCATTTCCTTCGGACACCTGAAAATGAGAGGCTTTTCTGTGAAGCGGATGAAATAGTGGGAGACGTGTTTTCCGGTCAGTCAAACTTTTCAGCATCTTTCATGTTGATTGCAACCTGGTATAAGGTACCATCTAAAACGCCCGGAGTGAGTAAATTTCTTTCAGTTATACGTGCGTCCATTTGATTGGTATTTTGTATAATTGCAATATTCTAAGTTAGAGCTGTGCATGTACATGTCGTGTCACCTTTTTTTCCCCATTGCAATATTACCACTGCAGTTCTGACCTGGCCTGCCCTGGCCTGGCCTGCCGTGGCCTGCCCTGTGCCCTGTCCTGCCCTACCCTGCCCTGCCCGGCCTAATCCATAATGGCGGATCCAGAGTGCATTTTTTTGGGGGGGATTTTTTTTGGGGGGGGGGGAGGGAATCCCCCCCCCCCCTCAAAAAAAAAAACCTAAAAAGTGGGTCCAGAATGCTCTAATTTTGTTTTTAAGAAAATATGGTGGTATACGTAATGGCTGCCTTTTTTGTGACGTCACTTTTTTGTTTTAAATTGGATTGGTTCCTTTGGGGGGGGGGCCTTGGATCCGCCCTTAGGCTTTTGGCACACCGCACATGCACACCCTCCAGCCCCGGCAGTAACCTAATACGTCCGCCCATGATTTCGACTATATTATGCAGCGAGACCATTTTGTTTACCGCGAGAGGGGCACTTTTGCTTTTGATGGCCAGCGCAGTGACAATTATATTTGCGCGAGGAGGAGCACTATTATAGAGCCAGTTTTGAGTTTTCCATGAGGAGAGGGACACAAATTTAATTTTGCGAGCGTCACACTGATAAAATAGTGCTTTCGAGTGACAAATTGTCCATCTCGACAGGGGCAGTATGTATTATTGAAAGACGGGCATGTGTACTTCCGAGGGGTAGTTTTCCATCTGGGAGAACATTCACAATCTTGTTATTTCTAGGGGGTACTTGTGTTTTTCAGGGGCAGCTTTCCATATACAGGAGGAGAGACAATTTTATTTGTAGCGCGATCATATGCTTTATACGTGTGCGTTTGACGGGCAGTTTTGTTTTCATCTCGAGGGGGCACATTTATCACCGCGAGAGGGGCACTTTTGTTGACCTGTGAAAAAAAAATTGGGGGGGGGGAATTTAAGGGCCCCCCCCCCGGTTTCCCCGCCCCTGCTGCTTGTTTCGTTTACTTTTAATAAATAATTATACATCGTTTATGGGTAATAAGTCAAGTCTCCGCGCGAAGGCCGGGAGTGGAATGTTCCTCTCCATCATACCGGTATATATGTCAGCTTGTTCTACAACTATTTTTCAACCACTCCGATTCAATTGAATGGAATTAAGTTCGCTCTGGCCTCTGGGACCATCCTTTATACCAGGCTCGCCTTGTCTTTTTTACAGCCCACAAGGAACACCTTTCAAGCTGTCTTGGTGACTGATGGCACCCGTTCATTTGCTATGTTTAATTATGAAGATATTCAATGGAGCTACGCGCAGCGAGACCAGGTAAGAATACAGGGTGAATAAAAAAAAAACGAAACCCAAATGTCGGGACCATTGTTTTAGTGAAGTTCTGCATGTAACACTTTCACAATCTAGGACACAAAAGCCCATTTTATAAGCTTTTTTAGTACAAGAATCATTCAAATCACTCATATACTTTTAAAGTTGAGGAGTTTTAAACATAACCGCTGTATTAAGGTTCTGTCCACGGATCACAAAAAAAGTGTGCTTTCTTACGCGCCAACGGGTATTAATGCTCTGTGCATTTTGAACTAGAGCTCAGAACAGTCGTTTATCCTGGTGTGTAGGATCCATGGTTTAATTGCACCCAAACGAGCACCAGTTGGCCTATGGTGATCCACATGAATACCCAAGTAATGAACGTCTAATCATCTTGCTTTGTATAGGAAGCTTTTGAAACAATACTGAGAATTACCAAGGACTTGTAATAATTGGTTTTTTTTGTGTGTTTTCAAACCTTACCCATGCAGGTTGGCTTCGATGCAGGTGACGGCGTCAATTTCTACCTTATATCTGAAGCCCGTACCGCTGATATCGTGAATATCGATGAAAGGTCCAACATCGGAATCAGAGGACGCTGGTTGTTTCGTATCGACCAATCATCCGTAGAGCGTATGTGTTTTCTAAGAACAGGCATCGGATAAATACTTCTAATCAATGCGGCGTCCTTTGCTGGAGTGTTTTCGAATCAAACTTTGCTTCAATTCGTGCAAAGTAATGCCTGCATGCACTGAGCATTGATCCATTTTTGAAAACAAAACAACGAAATTTCGTTAACGTTTTGCATGGCTTTAGATAAAATGCCTACTTTCAGATTTCGTTTCAACTTCCTGGTGTAGCTTCAGTATTTTTCATTCATGCATGCAAGCTTTAATTCATTGATTGTAATCACGATGTTGTATTTGTGGCTTAAGTAATGTGTGTACAGTACATTTTTTTATAAGTAATGACATTTTGTTCTGAACGTTGATATTCGGAACGATTCACAGAAGCATTCAACAAGCATTCCAACTACGTACGATTAAAAACTTCGGGGCATTGTCAACCCTTGGTGTAATCATGGCTCCAAACGCTAGTGATCGATAGCAGATAGTGCAGAGTGCGCCCTCTAATGGCACAAAAATGAGACCAGCGGGCCTACTAGCATTATAACGTCTTGGCCATTTCGTATCAGCGGTTTAACTGTTTCTTTATTTTTCCTAGGGGCGATTCCACGGTTACATGAATTGCACCTTTTTTGCGCCCTTTCATGTTCCTATTGCAGCGTTTTTAGCAAAAGTTGGATTAGCTTTCTCTTATGCTGAATACATATATCCTATATTCAAGGCTTCACTCTGATGGTAAAACAAATGTGCTTGTACTATGACGAGATCGTGGCACTCTTAGAAAAAAAACGGGTACACGCATTACACCAAAAATTGGCTTTGTTTTGATCCCCCTGTCTGCTTAAACTGAAAGTGTAATGACCTAATTAATATATTTACGGGACACCTACCACTGTACTTTACCAAAATGGCTAATAAAAATGAAGATCCAAATCAGGGACAAAAGTATACAGCGAGAAAGGTTTAGTTGGTTACCCGCATTACGATTACTCGCAGTACAGTTTGTTCGACAATTTGGCTGGGGTCAAATAACAATTTTACCTCCAAAATATTGGGATCAGACTTTAACTGCAAGGAGTTGCATAACCCTAAATTCATGGACTGAAGCCAAAATAAAGCCAACAAACAAACAAACAAAGGAATAAAAGATAACCAAAGAAGCATTTTGGTTACTCGCATTACGGATACTCGCATTACAATTTGGTCCATTTGATTAGTTCATTTGGTCTTATTCAATCTAAATCATTTTATCAAAACAAAACAAATGGCTAGGCTATAAAATTAAATCAATTAATCATTCTTTCAGTGTCAACATAATAAGAAGATTACAATTCAATTTAAGGTTGTCTTTTAGACAAGTTTGATGGTGCCCAGCACAGGCCTATTGAACATGTCGAAAGATATGTGTACGTGACAATATAATGGCTCTAAAAATGTCAGTTATGCAAATCGACTGATAACATTCCCTCATTAACTTTTTAAACTTGCTCTAACTGTATATCAACATTGAATTGATTGCACAAAACGTGATTATGGGCAAATTATGAGCAACTTTTGATATAGGCCCTATGGATTCTAATACTGTGCGGATATGTGTACCACAAATACTAGTCTGCATCAATTAAGATTTTCTAGGGGCTTACATTATTTCTTCTTTTTAAGTAAACAGTCAATCAGCAATCAAAAGTCATAATTGTTATTCGTTATCATCATGGAAAGTTATATGGTTACTCACAATACATTGGTTACTCACATTACCGGTTACTCGCATTTCAATTTTGACACCTCCTGATGACATCATGCTTGGTATCATTTTCATTTCTTTTATCAATTTAATATATGTCACTAAGGGAAGAAGGAAAATATGAAATGGCAATGACAGAATCAATTTCATTTAGCTGCAATATGAAAAACTTGATCTAGTTTTGGTTACTCGCATTACATACCCAAAACGATGTAACAAACTTGCATCCACACTGCTATACAAGGAGCCATGGTCCAAAATGTGTTTATTGTTTTGAGAAGATCTGAAGTCAAAGTATCGAAGTAAGATATAGTTTAAGTAAGGCTAGTTCTGTGTGAAAAGAACCAACCATTTAAAATTTGAAAAGTTGAAAGTTGATTTTTTTTTAAACCAAAGAATAACTTTAGTAATTGATTTTTTTTTTCACAGAAAATACTGAAGGATTGGCTAAAGTTTATATCCTGATCCATGCATGTGTTAACAATAACTTAAAAGAAAAAGACAAGCTCAGGAATGAATTTCATTTTTGGGGTCATGTCTCTGTTTGCTTAGAATCGCCCCTTGGCTTTCCCGGGGAACCAATCAGCGAGCGCGTGCTCGCGCGCCGGTTGTAAATATACGCGCTACCAGCGGTGATCAAGCATCATCGCTAAATTATTATGCAACGCAATGATGCCCCCGCGCGAGCGCGACTACGGCCGTGTCAAATTGGAACTGCCGTTTTGTTTGAATTTATTAATATTTACACCGACAGTTTTATTAACATAAAATGACCGTGCCCCCATTGCTACAAAACGTAACAAAATGACTGAGACGTTAGTGAGAGAAGGTAAAAACCAAAAAGAATTGTGCAGGAGCGCGCCTCAACAATGCAACTATCGCTATTGATAAGCAAAGAACGAGTGCAAAACCCGTCCGGTACGGATTTAATAAGAGATTCAGTTTAACACACCTCTTTTTCCTTTTTGCAGTTCCAACCATGAATACCACGGCATGCGAGATTGCCACCACCTGTCATATCCCAGGTATGTTTTGGCAGTTAACCATCTCAATTTACTGTACGAGTTTGACAATGAATTGGTAGAGCTAAGGCGCGTTCTTCTTTCAGTAGGCTCACAATGTCTTATGCCACCCATTGTAAAGCTTTGTGACGATATAATGTGATTCTTGGAGCCAATACTTAATCACAAAACCTAGGAAGATTTGAATCTAAAACAATGGAAGACTACTGTCTCACTTTAACAAAATTTTGTTTATATATGACTTGAAGCTTGCACGGCAGATGAGATAACATTTTCGGGTAAACCATTTGGAAAGATATCACTTCTTGGCACTTCTTGGAAAAAGTCTGGTTCTGAAATAACCGGTTGGTTGAGTGTATAAATCGACGTTCCGGACAGTGTGCTCTGTCCGTCCTCAGGAGGGTGAGTGATGAGATATGAATGATGCTGGAGGTTTTATGGCTGTGCGTGTACAGTTGGGTATGACTGAATGCTCAAGCCAACGGACTTCCTCGTCAGCTTCGATGTTGTCTCCCTCTTCACCAACGGCCCCACCAAAGAAGCCTGCCTCATCGCCAAAGAACGTCTCTACCACGACCCTACTCTACTAGACAGGACCGACCTATCCGCAGAACAGATTTACGACATCCTCCACACCTACGTCTCCTCCACCTGTTTCCAGTGGAGGAACCGTTCTATTAACAATCCACTTTGGCCGCCTTTGGATCTCCTCTATCCCCGGTCCTGGCGGATTTGTTCATAGTAGAGTTCGAGAGTATCACCATCGAGGCTACAGACTTTAAACAAGATGGCTGCGCTATGTGGATGACACTTTCGCAGTGTGTCAACACGGCACTGAACAACTCCACCCATTCCTCGACCACATCAACCAGCAGCAACCCCTCATCAAGTTCACCATGGAACAAGAGCAAAACAACACCTCAGCCTTCCTCGATGTCCAAGTCACCCGGGAACCGGATGAGTTCATCTCCTATACAGTTTTCCGCAAGCCCACGCACACCGACCGCTACGTACACACCCATCCTTCCACCACCCACGCTTCAAATCAGCAGTCCGCAACACCCTACTCCGCCGAGCCTACATCACCTGCGACCAAGCCCATCTCCAACAAGAGCTCCATCACATCAAGGCTTCCCTCAAGTTCAACGTGTACAAGAACGTCAGCACCGACAAGCCCAAGCCAGCATTCCCAAAAGAACAGCGCCCTCATTTCAAGGCAACCGTAACCCTACCCTACATCGGCCACATCTCCCATAAGCTACAACGTGTCTTAATCCAAGCCAACATCAAGGTCTACCACACAGCTCAACACAAGATACAAGCTCACCTACAGACACACAAGGACAAACAAGACCCGCATACCAAGGCAGGAGTCTACAGTATACCTTGTGAATGCGGCAAGGTTTACATCGGAGAGACAGGACGTGGCCTCAAGACAAGAATCAAGGAATATCAAGCACACGGCAGGAAAGGAGAAATCGACAAGTCAGCCATCATCAAGCACTCACACGAGCAATAGCATTGCATCCACTGGGACGGTGGTACCAAGCCCGCATCATCGCTCCAGTCACCCACTGGCACCCAAGACGCATCAGAGAAGCCATCGAAATTCACCGAAACAACACAGTCACTCAAGGCATCGGATTTCACATCATCGACATCTGGGCACAACTCATCAAACAGCATACATCCAACACACCTCAGCACACCAGCAACCAGCAGCATGCAACCAACACACACAAACAACCGACTATTTAATATTTTGTTTGTGTATTTGAACCTTGGGAATTTCTGGAAGCCAGCCAGTGTCAGAACAGATTGATATTTCTATTTCTACTTCTACGTTTTTGTGCAAGTTGTTGTCAGGCCCTACATGCAACATGCAAGTTTTATGTATTTTTGTTTGTTTCTGAGGCAGACAGAAAGGTTCACAATGATATTAGAAAAGAGTTTCATCAAATTTACATTATACGTCATAGTTATGTTAGTTAACACCAAAAGCTACAATGTCACGCGAGTCACACTTCTTGTCACAGGAGCCACATACTTATAACGCTGTTTGACAGACTGAATTGGGGTTTTAATCAATGCAACTTTTGAATAGAGTCAGGGAAGGCAAATACGCCACTGAATTAAATTAACCGATGCCTTTGTTGCATTAATTGTTCCAAATCAGTGTTATAAACTGAGTGTTGAATTGCCATACATCTGAAAGTGATTCTTGTGTAGAAATGTGACGCGATTCTCGCCGGAATGGGTGATATAGTGTGTAATATGTTGCCTGGTTTTGGTTCATATTTTGCAATGATTTAAGGTTAATCCATAGAAGCAAAGTCGGGGTTCAAGATCATTTTCCACTCAAATTTGTTTGTGAAAGAAAATGTCAGCTAGTATACATAATTTCAAGAAAATTGTCAAAATCAGCTCATCGAGACATACGAAAAATGAATTTTCATTTTTCCAACCAAATTCAGATGGAGCTCAGTGCGAAGGTGACGGTAATCCTCAAGGGTGCACGTGCTCGGGTTCACCTCAACAGTGTTCATGTTCCTTAGGATTCTTCGGCCTGGATTGCTCAAGTAAGTGAATTGAACTTGTTTCTCTTGGTTTGCTGAAGTTTTACACTAACGACCTGGAATACTGGCAGCTAAGTAGCACCAATTTTAAAGGGACACTAGTTCCTGGAAAAGACCAATTAGGCTACAAAACGCGCTTTGAATGAGATTATGTTAATCGGAAAGAACATTTAAAACCAGGATATAAACATCAACACAACTATCCTTTAAAATTAAACTTGGCGTTTTTTGTGTTATTCCTGTATTATGCGTGCAAAAACGAATTTCGGGGCCCACTTTTCAGTTGCGACCCTATAAATTCCTGCTGGTTGGATGCTAGTTGTGATTTCATTCGTAAAGTTTTCGCCTTTTGCGGATGTTGAAGAACCGCTGTTCCCGAGACACACAACGTATATATCGTACACTGTATTCGAACGACACAAAAACGTATTAGTACTCCGTCGTGTCTGATGTAAACAACCGGGGATTTTTCCTCTTTTTTCGGGAACGTTAAAACATTAGGTTGGTTTCCTTTCAACCACATGTTTGAAATGGGTGCATACCTATGTTCCCCAATACCAATGTTCCCCGAAATCCTACCAATATAACCTTAACCCTAACCTTAGAAGCCCTAACCCTAGCCCTAGCCCTAACCCTAACCCTAGCCCTACCCTAAGGATTTGGGGGAACATCGGTAGTGGGGAACATCGGTATTAGGGAACATCGCGATCGGGTGGATCCCGGCCGTTTGAAATAGGATAAGTAAACAATCCAAAACATGAAATTTTCGGGGATTTCAGGACCTAGTGCCCCATTAATCATAAGACATTTACGGTCTAATGCCTTTTTGGAGTACACTACAAGTTATACGATCACATATTGTGTTTTGGGTTAGATTAAATTCTGGACCGCCAGTGTGTCAGTCACGATGATCTATGACATGCATATTTATGTTGTAATGTTTACAGCATTTTTCATATACTAGTTGTTCAGCACCCTTCTTTAGATTTTGAGCACCTGTATTGCTTCAAACGAACATAATACACAAATTCGGGCGATTCACAATGCAGTGCGCCACCAAGAGTTTGCCACGGAGAGTTCGTTTTTTCAAGTTTACGGTCGACAAAACATGACCCATATGAGCGAGTGTCAGTAGAAAACTTGAGCTAATTTGTTATATAGATTGGGGCAAAGCGTTCTGCTGCCTTAAACAAACTCCATATTGATAAAACGAAAAGAAAAGGGCATGCAAACAGATGCTCGAATGATATGCTTACGAACTTTCTGGACGGAAAAACTAACAATTTCAAATGTCCCGCGCCATCGACCATCTCCCACAATGCACTGGGGAAAAATGAACTCTCCATGGCAAACTCTTGGTGGCGCACTGCATTGTGAATCGCCCGAATTACCTATGATGGACGCTATCTTTAAATGACAATATTGGGCTGCACCAAGTGCCCTTCGTTTATTCTAATATAATTATATGAGAAACTCAACTGTTTTCTTTCAGAAATCCTATTTCCTTTCGGTCTAAGAGACGATATAGTTAATAACGGCGATTTTGACAGTTCTGGCGAAATTCCTATTCCAGTCGAGTTTCCCTTCTTCGGCCGTTATTTCAACTCAATCTTTGTAAGTGCTAAGTTTGTTTCTTTTGTATGCAGATAAACTGTCATCTGTTTTCATAAGTAAATTATATGTAATTATATTTTATGACATGTTTTCGGTTTTTGTTTTTCCTTCAAGGTGAATATCAAAGGACTACTCTCATTTACCAACAAAATAACCTCCATCACACCTTTGAGATTTCCTCTAGCTAATGGCATTCCCAGTATTGCTGTCTACTGGGCCGACGCAATTACAGCAGACTTTTACCATGGAAGCGTACAGTATCGTTACTTTTTCCGCAACACCACTACAAGGAATGCTATGTTGTTCCGTCATGCGGATGAAATCATCAGACGGGTTTTTACGAGCCAGTCGGAATTTTCAGCGTCCTGGATGATGGTGGCGACCTGGCACAAAGTAGATTTTATTAGGACAACTAAATACGATAATCCCGGAGATATTGTGAGTTACGTTAAACGTAATTAGTTTCCTATAATACAGATTGGGTCAGACTTCAGTCCATGAAATGCTGCTGTTGAGGTGGGGGGGGGGGGGGAGGGAGGATCGCCACACCTCCTTCACACCGAGTCTGTTACTGTCCCAGCATTGAATAATGCCAGTGCCCATTAATTTTTAACACCCTGGTTGAGAGGAGTAATTGAGGTAAAGCACCTTACTCGAGGGCACAACACCCACACTTTACGGATGGGGTTTATGGGGAACTTGCATTATTCTCCCTTTAACCATCTTCTTTAGAATTTCCCTTCTGATGTGGTACCGTTTTACAAAGGCCGACTGGAAAAAAAAGTCCATAAAAAAAAATTGCACTAGCAAAATGTAAGAATGTGACGTACATTTACATGCAAACGGTCTCCCCCTACATACATGTAAATAGTCATGAGAAGGGTGCATTTGTACACTTTTAGTTAATATACATGTAGTGTGCCTGATTGTAGGATTTTATCAGCGCTCCCCTTTGAAAATATGGCACAAGCCCCCCCCCCCCCCCCCCCCCCCCCTCCTCCTATTGATTTTTGGAGGCCTAAGTGTCCGGAGAAAATAACCGGTCTACGTTTCAGCACGCCTACCTGAAAAAAAAATCTGGATCCACCCCGCTAGCCCCCCCCCCCCCCCCCCCCCCCCAATATTAGCTCTAGAACCGCGCCTGATTGTTCTCCTTGTATAAGTATCCCATAAGAATAATAAGGTACGTAGCTCTAGTAAGAGCTTGTATGGTGCGGTATCGGGAGAAATAGGGTGGGAACGCATTTAATAACGAACATGCAATTGAAAAACGAACAACATTATTTGCAACACACATTAAGAGTGGTGATGTTGCGATTAATAACTTACTACTACAAGGCCAATCACATAAATGATATGTTTTAAAATTAAGGGGGAGAAATGTATACCAAAACGCGACTTGTAACATCCACCAACTTCTAACAGGATTTTCTCCAAAATGGGTTTTGCTGCCGTGTGGGCAGATTCATCAGTTCGTCAAACAGGTGCACTTCAGGATCAACCATATTGGACTGGTTTACCATAGTGAGGATGTCAAAGGTTTATCGATTAATTTTGATAATACATATTTTTTTGTCATTCTCCACAGTACAATACATTTCAGGGTGTTTTGGTGACCGATGGTGCGCAGTCTTTTGCCATTCATAATTACCAGAAGATAATATGGACAACTGGTCAATTCCATGCTGGAGATAATTTTGGACTTGGAGGAATTCCAGCACTGGTAGTTTTATATAATTAAGTGGATGGTAACAAAACGCAGATCCCAGTTCTCAATAAACAATAATGTGTATCAGTGTTGTAGGTCTCGAGACCGGTCTCGAGACCACTTTTTGCTGGTCTCGGTCTCGGTCTCGGTCTCGGAAGCTGTGGTCTCGGTCTTGGTCTCGGTCTCGGTCCCCTTTGGTCTCGATATTTTGGCTGGTCTCGGGTCGAGACCGGCAATATGTAGCTTTTACAGCTCGATCGATTACTTTGCGTTCACTTCGTTCAGTACCGTTGTTATCTAAAACATTTGCTAGCCCGTAGATCAAGCTTGTTATATATCGCGGTCGGTTTGGACTCGACTGCACGTTGGAAAGTCCCCAAAGTACATGTTAAACTGCAGCAGTACCAGTCACCTGAACGATTTGGAACAAGTTCGGCATTTATCTGTTGAGTCGGCCACATAAAGCAAAGTATAAACTTGTAACAATTTATGCAATAAGGGTCAACCCTTTTCGGGGATTGTGTAGTTTAGCCCACCCCTGTGGGCGTAATCACTTGCATTTCGTATTCTGATAATAAATGAGGTGCTTCAAATTAGTTATATTTTTGACCCCACACAATGTTCTTTTTCATTTGGGACAGTATTTTGAAGAAAAAGTAAAATTTTCTACCTGATTTTCCAGCTTTGAACTCACACACTCTTACCAGTTACCACTCACTCTTGCCATGAGAGTGTATGATGAGACCCCATTTTCTGGCTGCTCATTTTAAAGTACCCCATTATTCCTCAAAAATTAAAAATCCCGTTCAGAAAAAAATTAAAAATCCATATCTGGCACATTCTGGCTACCACCTCGCAACTTGTGGGTCTACATGTACAAGTCCACATTCTATGACAAAAATTTAAAAATTAATTCAACATTTTCTAGCTCCCATTTTTTAAAATCAAGTACACAAGTCTTGTTAGAAGTTAAGTCCTAAATTTATTTTAGGGAAAAAAAAGGCAATGTCAAATTAAAATTGCATCTTTAAATATCCCTTAGAAGTCATAGCTGAAGAAATCAAGGGGGCGACTGTGGAGTTTAGGATCCGAGTTCCTATAACAAATGAAACATCTACCTTCAACTTTTTACTTTCGTCAAGATTGGGTGCAGACAACATACCAAAGCCCATATTTCTTAAGTGTAACTACTTTTTGCTCAAGTAAGGTGTCATGTATCAATTTGTCAACATTGCCACTGGTCAAAATTTTGGTCTGTATTCTTTGTGAATAGAAAGGTTACCGTGACATTTTTCAACTATAATAACGTGTCTTGTTTTTTTTATTTCGACTATTGTTATTTATTATCAGCGGTCTCGGTCTCGGTCTCGGTCTCGGACCATATTGGTCTCGGTCTCGGTCCGCCTTGAAGGGGCTGGTCTCGGTCTCGGTCTCGGTCTCGAATCTTCAGGTCTCGGTCTTGGTCTCGGTCTCGGACTATCCGGTCTCGACTACAACACTGATGTGTATTACGAAAGGGATCAGCCTTTTTGTTTATAACATTAATTTTACTGAGCTATAGACTTGATGTTTAGTCGTTATACAGTCGTGTCAGCGATATCTGTAATATTTTTAGCCTTGGTCAAGGCGTTCGTGGTTATTCGTCTGTACGCGGTAATCAATCGGCAGCATATCCTCGCGTACAATGCATACATAGTGCATGTAAAAATACAGCACGAACTGCGACCTCATGAGGCCACTATTGTATGCAAACCATTTGCATCTGACCGAACGCCTTGGTTCGATCGTCGGCGAAAGCTTATGTTTTTCTTCATTTTGCGCTGGACTTCTGGCGCACGACTCGAATGCAAATACAGATAAGTGTATATGTGGAGTGTCCAATCACATATGGTAAATCCTTGCATTGGTGCTGTGTGTGATGTCAGGCCGTGTCTGAAACGGGCTTCCAGAGCTACGGCTACATCTATTGTCAGCGTGTCCCCACATATTTTCAATAGGCGCAGACAGACCTAGCTCTAGACAACTGATTCGGTTTTTGAGATACGGCGACACACGTCGTGTGTGTACGTATTATGTACAGGACATGTCAAGTCTCGCTACACCGCTCGCTAACTATTATGCAAGTTTCCACGCAACGATCGACCAATACGATAACGACTTTTAAGGTCAGCTAGGCTATTAGCATTAATGAGCACCATCCCCAAAACCTCACACAGATGATTGAACCAAGGCGTTCGATCGGATCCAAATGATTTGCATAAAATAGTGGCCGTATGAGGTCGCTGTTCGCGCCGTATTTTGACATGTACTGCATAGCGCGAGAGGATATGCCGCGAGTACAGACGAATAATGACGAACGCCTTGACCAAGGCTATAATACTCTTTGCTTGTACATGTCCAACGGCTTCAAATACACGTTTCACGTGAGCGAATACTCATGATCGTCCAACTGACCCGCGTACGCCACATGCGCAAGTGCACACATCCAGTGAGCTTGCTTGATAACCTTGCGCTTGTTCCTTGTCGTGTCCACATATAGGCTAAACACAATTCAGCCAAAGCTGAACGCAATAGCACTATCATTGTACATTGCGAGGTCTTCGGCTGTGCACGGTTGCTCCAGTTGAGGGCAGCTTTAGCAAATGTTACATAGTCTGTGCTTCAGTAAAACATTCATATCCTGATATCCCCACTAGCGAAGGGTCACTTTCGAGCGTTCTGTACCAGTCCTCAGTCTGGTCATGCATTCCCATTCTGTCCAACTTGAGTCAGCTCCAGGTGGAAGATCCTCTGTTGCATTTAAAGCCGTTGTGGTTGTTGATGGGAGCTTAATTGGCAAGCCTTTCCTTCCATTAGGTGACTCTGGCGCAAATTGTATTTGCTTCTTCAAGAGGTGTTACACTCTGAACAAAGCTAGCTCTAGATCTGAGTTTATATTTTATCTTATCTACTCATTTGTTGACCATCCTGAGTGGTGGAATGATGACTGTGACAAGGCCTGCAAACACCTGTATCTCGCCTCAGGTACAACAAGGCTCAAAACGAATACACCTCTACGTCTCGGAAAGCCATCGCTTCACAAAAGCACAAGAGTCAGGGAAAAAATGACAACTGAACTTCAAACCAGTTCCAAACGCTGGTGGTGGACAGCCCGCAGACTAGCAGGAAAGGGTGGCAAGACTGAAATCCCTGTCCTGAAGGCCAACAGACAAACTTATATCAGTGCAGAGGATAAAGCTGAATGCTTTTCATCATTATTCAGTGAAAAATCTACCATGCCCAATGAAGTTTACAGCAAAACCGTTCCAAAGCTTCACACCAGGTCTTCTTCCTGCTTCTTTCAGCAGTGCTTTTGATCGTGTGTGGCACCCCGGCCTGCTTGCTAAGCTATTGCTGCATGTGGCTTTTCTGGAACACTGCATGCCTGGTTGAAAAATTAACTACCTTAAAGATCGATCTCTGAAGGTAGTTTTGAGTGGAAAGGAAGCTGGTGAGAAGATAACGCTGCCGTACCTCAAGGTCTGTTTATCATCTTCCTGGATGACATCTCATCAGACCTGACAAACCAGTCTATCTTGTATGCAGATGATGTCACCATAATGTCCTTCATCAGATCCAAACATGACAGGAATCCTGCAGCTATGTCCCTCAATCAAGACCTGAACAAGATCGAGACATGGGCTAATACATGGAATGTCCTATTTGGAGCTGCTAAGTGTAAAACGATCACCATCTCAAATCGCAGGGATGCAGCAGTTACTCAACCTCCCCTTAGCTTTTTAAGCACTACACTTGAGGAAGTTGATAGAGTGGATCTCCTGGGCCTCACCCTGAGCAATAACCTGTCCAGGAACCCTGTGGTTACCAAAATGGTGAAGTCTGCTGGTCAGCAGCTGGGACTTCTGAGAAGTGTCTCTCCTTATATCTTGCCAGCCCAGAGAGCCATTATCTACAAAGCTACGATACGCTCTAAGATGGAGTATGCGAGTACTGCATGGTTCAATGCAACACCCACTTCCCTTGCTCAACTTGATCAATTCAGAACAGAGCCAAGTGTATCATCGGACTCTCTAGAGATGAATACCTAGACCATCGTATCCATCCACTGAGTCGACCGCAGGGCAGTAGGCGCAACAACCCTATTCCATCGTATTTTTTTATCAGGAGGCCCAAGAACTCCCGTGCCAGCTGATGCCAAGCAGGTATATTCCAGATCCAAGGCTACGGCAGTCTGTCCGACCACACAACCTGGCAGTGGAGGTACCAAGATCAAACCTGGTCAGCCATCAAAGGTCCTTTTTACCATCTACAGCCCGAATATGGAACTCTCTTCCTGCCCACATACCCACTAACAGGAATCTGGCCAGCTTCAAGAGGGAGGTGAATCGCTATCTGGGCGACAAGCCATCAGCAGTCTCTATTAATTAATAATGTTTCTAGCTGTTAAGGCCCAGATATGCCTTGTTTAAAAAAAACAAAAAAAAAACAGTCATTGGGCTTCGTCTCAAGCATGGCAGCTACTCCCGTAATCGTGCATACAACTCAGATCGATTTGTTCGACGGCAACTTTAGAGCTTTTAATTGAAGGCCAATGTTTAACTGCCTTTTTATGAATCCAATACCTAAACAAGAATTTTACTGTCTATAAATCTTAGGTTGGTTTTCACGGTGGCGATGGCATCAATTACTACGAAGTGCCTGGGTCACAGAGCAATGACATTGTCAACATGGACCAGAGATCGAACATTAACACGATCGGTCGTTGGATTTTCCGCATTGACCTCCCAGAAATACAAGGTATGTAACAACCATGTTACAACGTTAACCAAAACTGAATGACTAGGGTATTAAAGAAAGATGTCTTTTCATGAAAACTGGTTGTTTTATGTATTTAATGCTACCTCTTAAACGAGTTTTTATCTGTTAGAGTAACTGCTGTGAGGGTTACACACCTATGTTCCGACACCCCTATGTTCCAACACCCTTATGTTCCGACTTCACATATTCCTATCCCTAGCCCTAACCCTCTAACCCTCACCCTAACCCTAACCCCACCCTAACCGGGAGTAACACAACCTTATACATTGTATGTGGGCTGTCGGCTCTGAGGGTTACACATCTATGTTCCGACACAGGCTACATATGTTCCGAAACAGGTTATGTTCCGACACTCCTTTTTTCTGACACCCCTATATGTTTCGACTGCACATATTCCTATCCCTACACTTTAAAACTATTGGGCAAATAATTTGTTTGGCAAATATGAGCAACGCAATGTGTATAGGCCATTTTTCCCAATAGTTGAAATTGTTAACTATTCGCCCATCGTTGGTCGAATTGTCAACCCATGTTGCCCAACTTTTTTACAGTGTAACCCTAACCCTCTAACCCTAACTCTGATTCCACCCTAACCAGGATTAACACGGCACAATCTTATGTGCGGGCTGTCGGAACATAGAGGTATCGGAACATAGAACCGTCACCGCTCTGAGTTTAAACACCCCTTGATGCGTTTTTTTTTAATGAGGGCATAAGCAGTTTCGCGGAATGCATGCTGCTAGTCTGTACCAACGATAGCAAATATTGAGGATATCAGCCCATACGTTTTCGTACCATTCTTATCTGTTCAATACCTGGTGAATGCAGCAGTTTTCCTTTTCAGAAAGAATTCCATAAAAAGATAATCTTCATTGAAATGAATTCAAATGCAAATGGTACCACAACGGTCCCCGTGTGTCCGCACTTTAAAGCCACGTTATCGCCGGTCACTCACCTTGTTTGTTGTTCATTCCACACAGGACCAGTTGTAATGAGTTGTCCATCTGCCATTGTACACAACGGAAACACATTCTGGAATCCCCTTAGTGTGATGGCCTTTAACCTAACCGATAGTTCAACAGTGTCAGCCTCATGCAACATACGTCACCTACGTGGTGGTAGAGACACCATCGTGACGTCAGATTACCTACTTCCCAGTTATGCTGCAAGAATCACCTGTTACGCACCAAGTACATCTCCAGTTGCAACCTGTAGATTCGACGTGACATTTGGTAAAGTAATATGTATAACATCATTCATTATCTCTTGAGATAATTATACTGCAGTATAATTAAAGTAGCTTTTTTTGGCACTGAGCAGACAACGGTCACTGTTGGCTGCCACTAGTGTTTTTTGGTATTATTTTACCAAAGTCATACTTTATCGAGTGTGACATATTGGTATATCATTAGCTGTTCCCAATTTCAATTGGGAACAGCTTTTGTTTTCGTTAAAGTTTTTTTTTCCTTGCCGAAACTTTTCGTCATCGTGACGTCATCAGGGGTCATATGACATCTATTTATAGATTCAATTTTTACAGCCTTATAACTATAGAACTATATGACCCATTGATCTCAAATTTGGTAGGTATATAGATGAAAATTGATATGTCAAGGTCACGTGACCTTCACTTCCGGTTTTACCGGAAGTGGTAATTTTAGACCCCTATATCATATTTCATGAATTATTAATCTGATTAGGTTGAAACTTCACATTAATACAAAGCTATATTGACAGATAATTATATTGCATTATTATTACTGTGCACTTAATTATTGTCATGTTATGACGTCATGAATATTTAATGAGACAATCTTTACAGTCTTATAACTATAGAACTATTTGCCCGATTGATCTCGATCCTGGTAGGTAGATAGACAGGGAAGTGTTATAGATGAAAATTGATATGTCAAGGTCACGTGACCTTCACTTCCGGTTTTACCGGAAGTGTTAATTTTATACCCTAATTAGCCTATCTAATGAATTATAAATTTGACAGGACATTTCTTTTCGAACAGGTATTAAATCATTTTGTTTACGGTCCAATAGACAATCAATATTGGGAACAGCTCTGTGGTTGTTCACAACCACCACAGTTTCTAGATTTTTGCTTGTTTTTGTTTGTAATTTCCAATGAAACAAAGCAAATGCAGAAGAAATATGACATTTTCCAATTGTGAACGTTCGGGAGTTTCATGTCATGGAGGTCTTTACTGACGATTGCCTTTAGTTTTGGCTTAATCAAGAAGACCCTTTTTTTTCCCATATATGTCGGTAAAGACCACAGACTACACCTCATTGCTTTGGCACCTTTCATATTCAGATAACGTGGCACCAGTTTTTCAAAGTTGCCAGTCTCAGGTCGTGTACGCAACACCAGGAACCAATCAGAGTATAGTCGTCTTGGATCCTGACTTGTTTTCTGCTATTGATGCTGTCGGCGGCCCAGTTTCTGTCAGTTGCTCATTTCTAAACGAGGACTCGGTGAGGGTGTCCGTCGGATTAAATAGTACCTTCCCCCTTGGAATGATGACAGTGGATTGCGAGGCATCTGATGCTGCTGGCAACACTGCCTTCTGTCAGCTTAATGTAACCGTATTAGGTGAGACATATATTGCCGTTAATTGTTTATGATGTTTGAAAACCTCCCATTTTTTTCACAATTCATATTATGTAAATATACAAGTAGCCCTTCGTAGCGTTATCTGGTCAAGTTGTTGCTGAGAGCAGGAGATTTGCTGAAAATAAGTCACAAGAATTTTTACTCTTTTCACTTTTTACAAGCATTTTACTTTATCATTGAGAGTGTTGTGTAGTATAAACCTAAATGAAATATCGTCGGTTTGGCATGAAGGACGAAATTCTAGTCTGAGCGGCACATGTTTTGAAGAATTAATCTATTAAACTAGTAACATTTTAAGACCGTCGTTTCAGAGCTTAGGTTTCTCTGGTACATGAGGTGAATTATTGTCGTGTTTACTTTCACATGTCTCATGTAGCGTAACACCGTTCTGTGTCGAATGATCTATTCTTTTCATTTTACTTTCTTTATCACTGCAATGCAGAATCACCACCACCTACCACCGAGCAAATGCCAACAACTGGACCAAAAGACTCAACAACTTATGGTAAGATCCTAAAATATTCAAAATTAGTGTTATACATTGTTTTATTTTCTAATCCACAGTTGTAGACATGCAGGCATTGTTGTTTTCCTTAATAAAATTCTATACCTTGATGAAACTTATACTATATGTATAGCCACCCAATTTATCAGAATATTATATTTTTCAGCAAGAAAACTGTAAATCTTTTTTTTTTTAAATCAGATACAACTAATGGTCAGATATTAACATCAGAGACCACTGAAATCAAAACACCAGTGACTGCAGTAACTATGTCCCCAGCAACTGACGACCAAACACCAGCGACTGCCGCCACTGAATCCTTATCAACTGACGACCAAACAGCAGCATCTGACACAACTGTGGCCCTGTCAACTGACGACCAATCACCAGCTACTGCCGCCACTGTGGACCCATCAACTGACGACCAAACACCAACATCTGATGCCACTGAGTGCCCATCTGACGACCAAACACCAGCAATTGCTGCCCCTATGTCCCCATCAACAGACGACCAAACACCAGCAACTGCGGCCCCTATGTCCCCATCAACTGACGACCAAACACCAGCAACTGCCGCCCCTATGTCCCCATCAACAGACGACCAAACACCAGCAACTGCGGCCCCTATGTCCCCATCAACTGACGACCAAACACCAGCAACTGCCGCCCCTATGTCCTCATCAACTGACGACCAAACACCAGCAACTGCCGCCCCTATGTCCCCATCAACTGACGACCAAACACCAGCAACTGCCGCCCCTATGTCCCCATCAACTGACGACCAAACACCAGCAACTGCCGCCCCTATGTCCCCATCAACTGACGACCAAACACCAGCAACTGCCGCCCCTATGTCCCCATCAACTGACGACCAAACACCAGTAACTGCCGCCCCTATGTCCCCATCAACTGACGACCAAACACCAGCATCTGCCGCCCCTATGTCCCCATCAACAGACGACCAAACACCAGCAACTGCCGCCCCTATGTCCCCATCAACTGACGACCAAACACCAGCAACTGCCGCCCCTATGTCCCCATCAACTGACGACCAAACACCAGCAACTGCCGCCCCTATGTCCCCATCAACTGACGACCAAACACCAGCAACTGCCGCCCCTATGTCCCCATCAACTGACGACCAAACACCAGCAACTGCCGCCCCTATGTCCCCATCAACTGACGACCAAACACCAGCAACTGCCGCCCCTATGTCCCCATCAACTGACGACCAAACACCAGTAACTGCGGCCCCTATGTCCCCATCAACTGACGACCAAACACCAGCAACTGCCGCCCCTATGTCCCCATCAACTGACGACCAAACACCAGCAACTGCCGCCCCTATGTCCCTATCAACTGACAACCAAACACCAGCAACTACCACCCCTATGTCCCAATCAACGGACGCCCAAACACATGACGGCACCTCTGAGTACCCAAGTGGCTATCAAACAACAGCAACTGACTCGCCGACTCCAGGTAAAATAATAATTTTGTATTTCTATAATTCATCCTTTTTGTTTTCAATTTTCAAAAATTGGTCCCATACCCTAGTATCCGGAAACGGACGTCGAAGCATAGTGATTGGAGACCTGAAATTAATGGTCCCTCTATGTTCTGTACCATAGTGTAATTTCACCTGTTACGCACAGGTGTTTCCATAACCAGGTTATATTGTGTAAAATGAGGTCCGCCCAGAAGCACTCTCACGAATCCTAATCTGATACGTTTATTTTGTTATCAGTCTGTGAGTTGACAGAATCAAGCTGTCAGCAAGGAACATTTGATGAAGATCACTGTGAGTGCGTATGCCCGGTGTCTATATCTGGGAGAACCTGTCAAGGTAAGATGAAGTCACAGTCCATGTCAGTAACATTGATCAATTACACAGAGTGAAGTGACTGGTGCTAGTTGGAAGGCAAAATACCCTACTTCGAAAAATGAGATTTTGGGGAGAAAAAAAAGAGATGAAAGTTTGAATGTTTGCCATTTTATGCCGTAAGATTGATTTGGAAACTTGTTCAAAAATAAGGATTGTTTTGTGAAGTTTGGAAATGGAATGAAGTTTTTTGGATTTATAATCAATGTTTGTGAATTTCATTTGTTGTCTCAGGTGTCTTTTTAATGATGTTAGAGTTCAGTATCTAAGAGTGAGGCTTTTCTAGCAAAACAAAATTAAGACATGGGGTGATCTGTCAGAAAGATATTACGTTTTGCCATCAAAGACACGGGTATATTTTAAAAAGGAGACTGAGATGGACTTGCAATCTACAAAACCATACACTCTAGCTGTAACTTCGAACAGAATGCCCATTATTTGACTTGAAATGTTCTCAACTCGAAAACTCAATATTTTGAGTAAGGTTGTTTGTCATCCAAGAGCTGATTGTATTTAGCAAGATTCTGTTGTATCAATTCATTCCCAATTGATAACAGTCTGTCATTTCTTTCAGTTCCCAACCCATGTTTAGATCCCACCCTCTGCCCTGGGGAGGAGGAGTACTGCGTGGCAAACATCTTCAACCCCGTTGGCTATGATTGTGTTTGCGATGCCTTACTCGGATATCTCACGGAAGATGGTGGATCCTGTACAAGTGAGAACTTCATCGAATAAGTCCGACTCACTCAAAGAGAGTTGCATGTATTTGTTTTGTGCACGAGTTGGTGGCAGTAATATAAATAGATATGCACTTATAGCAAATAGGAATGTAGACAATGATCAATGTATTTGCCTTGATTAAGGTAGTAATCAATGAAATGCCATTTTCCTGAACATTTAATATGTAGGCCTTCTCAGCTATTTCACGCCATTTTATCAAAGAAGTGACCGGAACAAGTATATCTTCTCATTGTATTTCGTAGGATATATTGCACGCGTGTTCAGACTCAGGGTTTTGGGTATCAACGGAATCGCCGTCGACTTTCTGCCTGCGTTCGGTAATCCCACTTCGTCTGCCAGTAGTGAAGCTCTTGGTATCATTCGGGGAGTAGTAAGTGATTCTATCAAACTGAATTTACAGTATTTATTCTTTGAAATCATCAAAAGGACTATCTTTTTGTTTCTTGTCAATACATTTGCTCTTGGAACTAGCTCAAACACTTGGTAATAACTGCATGGTATTGTTGTCTCCGTCATCTAGATATTCCAGCAAAATCTAGTTAGGTTCCCATTTTTTGTTCGATTTCGTTTCAGACCATAAAATTATTCGTACCCTTTGCGCAACTGAAATGATTGTGATGACCACAAACGAGAGAGCTTTCAAAATACCTAGACCAATAATCAGTCAAAAGAAAAGCCTCTCTGATAAGTTCGTGGCTCTGAAATTAACCCCGCCACATTTCTTCAATTTAATCGTTATTTGCTTTCTCCGCATAGCTGCTCTTTATTCTGAAACGAAATCCACTGACATCTGCCGTGCGTGATGTTACTGACATCAGTATCCTCAGCGGAGGAAGCATCATTGTCGAGTTTGTGGCTTTGTACAATAACACCGACACGGCACTGGTCGTGCCATCTGTGCAGATCATACAGAGCGTTCTGCAGACTCAAAGTAGACTTGAGGGGGAATCGGACTATCTGGCAGTGGACACACAATATGTCACCACAGAACGTACGTAAAACATTTCATGAGATTGAATTTATCTACGGACTTACTCTGCGGAGCTTGTAAGTAAGAAGGCGGCGTGTAGCGTGAGAAGGAATAAACTGGCTCAGGGTATTTAAAAGCGGGAATAAGTCTAAAAGTGATATCTCTTACCTCGCTGGTAATCACAGGGGCCATCGCCGTAAGGTTCAGAATCATGGCATACCAGGGAGGTTTCTTTCATGGACAGAAAAAAAATCATTAACCGTAACTGTTAAGGGTGGTGTTTGTGAAATGAAGTAAACATATTCTTTAGAAAAACCTCTCCACATGTGATATTAGTGTGCAGAAAATATTCCATCACGGTCTAAGCAAGCCTTTTATATTTTTCTGTTGACAGAAACAACATCAACCTGCCCTATGAATTACTGTGCAAACGGTGGAACGTGTGACATAGTTGGACTGTACCCGATGTTTACCCTAACCTGCAGGTGGGTATATCTATCATAAATATCATCAGTACCGGAACTATAAGCATGTGGCTTGTAGGGGAGTGGGCTGAGAAGATCAGACCTACACATTTCATTATCTTTTGAAGCGATGTGGATGAAACAATGGACTTTCCGTCGTAGTATATTCTTGTAATATTTTGAAATGGTTTAAATTTTGCAGGGATGGTTTTTATAATCTGACTTATTGCAAGCCAAAGATGTTATAACGTTTAGCTTTGTCCTTTTCAATTGAGTACAGATGCAGTACTTCCTTCACTGGTGAACATTGCGACAGCGTCATCCCGCTCATGGGAGTCGTACCAACCGCTCCCCGCACGGACGCACCGACCGAACCGCCCGGTGAAGGTGGGGAATCAGTTTGGTGATTCTTCAAGAAAAAAAATAATCTAAAAATTAGTTATGAACAGGGCCCAAGGTTATTACCACTCCATCACTGTACTGAAAACTACAGTGCTCTTTTGAATAAGGAATAGGGTCAAAATCCTGGCTATCACGTGTTGTGTATTAATTCGGTGCGTTATAAAGGTCAGACTGCAGACAGCCGTCATTTGAGTTGGCCGACTGGTCTTGCTGACAGGATGATTGATTATCCCTGTGGTTCTTGTCATACGGGTTGGTGTTTGGCTGGAATTTTCAGGGTAAATAGTCCAACCCGGACTAAAGCAGTACTCATCACGTTGGTTGGGTATGTTTGATGATAAAGATGTGAAATTTAAAATCTTTAGCCGAAAAATGTCCGAGTAATTAACAATTTGAGCAATTTCAACTTTATTCTAGAGCACAATTGGTCAGCGGACGGAGGGTTGCAACTACACACATTACTGAGCATATTGGCTGGTAACCAATTAACCTATCGCCGTTTGCGAGTTAGCAACGCCCCTTAGACAACCCTACAAAATTTTTGTACACTTAAGTTTTGTTTGTCTCAGATTTTGCGCGTTCCGCCTACATTTGTATCAGTGTTGGAGCAAAGGCTTTGACCCTCAAGGCCAAGGCCAAGGCCAAGGCTTTGACCCTCAAGGCCAAGGCCAAGGCCAAGGCTTTGACCATCAAGCCTCGAGGCCAAGGCCAAGGCTTAACCCTCAAGGCCAAGGCCAAGGCCCTGTTTTATGAAATGACCACTGATATAGAACTAATTATAGTCACATGAGTGACACATCATCACGCAAGGGCGGATCCAGAACACAATTTGGGGGGGGGGGCAAAGAAATTTTGGTCCCCCCAAAAAAAATTGGGTCAAAAAATTACGGCTTGGGCTTCGGCGATGCTCTGTGGCGCGATTTGAGGCAATTTCTGACCATTTTAACCAATGTTTTTTGAGTAAAAGATGGTGGTGTACTCATTGCCTGCCTTTATTACGACGTCACATACAAAAAAAATGGTTTCGTTTTTTTTTGGGGGGGGGGGCATGGCCCCTTTTGCCCCCCCCTGAATCCGCCCTTATCATCACGAATTGCTCGTTACGAAGAACAACATTTCTTTAATTGCAATCAACATGCTCGCATAGGCCTACACCGTTTTATGACTGCACTGTATCTATTAAAGTATAAGTTCAGGTCTTCAATATGGTTTAACTAAACAAAAATAATGATGGTTTAACTAAACAAAAAACGGAATATTTTTGCAGCAAATCTACTACAATGGTAACAAAATGTGATGCTACAAAAGTGGAAGTGTGCCCAACACACAAATCTATAGGGTGCTTCCCTCCTCCATGGTAATACGATTAAAATGGTAACAGCAAAATTTCGAACAGATTTATCTGGAAAATGCAAAAATCTATGGGCCTTGAAGAGCCTTGACTCAAATTTGCAAGGCCCTGAACCCTCAAGGCCAAGGCCAAGGCCAAGGCTTTTGCCCTCAAGCCTCGAGGCCAAGGCCAAGGCCCTAAAATCCAGCCTTAAGGCAGCCTTAAGGCCAAGGCCCAGCATCAAGGCACTACATCACTGATTTGTATATCATGTTTACAATTGGACAATATTCCACAAGCTGCGTTGACACGATTTTAACGTGATTCTGCCGCGACAGGTCAATTGTGTTTCGAGAAAAAAGTTTCTTTGATTAGCCTGAATAAATCACTCCACTTTATCCTTTTTACTTTCTGTTTCAGGTGTTTTACCCACCATCTTGATCATTGTAATTATGATAGTGGTATTTGTTCTGGCATTGCTCATCCTGGGATTCTTGTGTATCATGATGAGGCGTCGTATTATTTTGAATCGCATCCCAATCGCCTTCAAGTCGCCCGACCGTCCTTCTACTGGTCGGGGACCAGATTTCAGTAGGCGGGTCTGGAGGGCCGAGGACGATGCCAATATCGCCGTCTTCGCTCCCGCTTGGCAACGTCACCTGGGCACAAGATTTCCTGCTCGGGCTGTGAATGGAGTACGCAGCGTGCCCCAACTACAGCAGGTAATTAGAGGGTTATTTTTGGTTTACCTGTTTCGTAATTTTGTTTTCTAATCCAGCCAATCAGGACCGAATGTTCCTGGCCTTCCAGGGAAATTTTGTAATGTAGTGAGCTTGTCATTAGCACATGGATAATAGTTGTTGCTTCGATGATTGCTTGGTTTATTGTCTCTCAGTACATCTCAGTACATCACATGAGGTTCTATGCTTAGCAAAGGGCTACATTGTTCTAAAGTGCAATCTGATCCAAGTTGGGGCCTTATTCATTATTCATTTAGTAATTTAGGGTTCATGCATTCCAATATAGATGAGGTAATGTCTGGGTCTGGGTTTGGGTGTGTGGTTTCAGAGCACGTGGTGTCTATACATATAGCTATCATGTAAGGATACTACAAACTACACGGTTAGTTTCATGACACTTGAAAGTAACTTTAAGGTAATAGTGAATAAGTTAGCAAGGGTCCTATATCAACATGTGTGGCTATAAATCTCCATTGTGATACCATTAATACATCCTACCAGGATAGTTTTGAACATTTTATAAATTTTTATATCAGCCGTGCGAAGCACGCTGATAATTGTGATCGTCGCATTTTTCTTCTTTCTTTCTTTCTTAGGACAAACACTCACATCAAATGCTATATCTGCCAAATGTGTTGGCCGATTTTTGCCAAATTTGGACAGGAGCTTCCTTGACCCTAGTTATATCTTATTTAGTGACCAGCATCTGGAGTCAACGGTCACCTAGTGGTCACAAGTGGTGATTTTCCTCAAAAATGCAAAATGCTTCCAAATTTGGACAAGAGCTTCATTTTAACCCTACATGATGGCATGCCACATTACTTTGGGCAAGATGTTTGATTCTTTAAAGTCTTTCTTGAAAATTCTCCATGGAAGTAAAATCCTATCGTGCGAAAATTGACAGCTTATCACGTCGAACCTGATTTTGTTTGTGAATAATAAAAAATATATAGTATAACTTGAAGAGTGAATGAAGCATTTTATTATTGACTCTTCTTGAATTCCCTCTCTTTATCAGATTCCACCCGAACGAAGCAGTGACTTCATGACACCGTACATGGTACCGGACTTCGTGGAGATGCCGCTTCATGAGAACCAAGGGGTGAGGAACAAATGCTTTTCTCAATGACATTCTGTTTTCATATGTGCAAACATTCACATCAACAATTTTCGCACTTCTCGTTGTACCATTCAGCATCCACTGTGCGCTGCAGTATGACCACTGTTACAGGCGATTCGAGTTAAAACTCGCTGCACCTGCCTCGCAAACAACTCAATTGCAGTCATTTGGGTTAACGAAGTGTGAAAGATTAAAATTAGAATCTTGGGTTTTTTCCCCCCCAATGGCACAAATTATTAGAAGTCCTCTGTCCAAGTGCAGCCTCAAATGGAATTGCTATGTAATTTCGATTGGTCATGAGCTCCGTGCGCTACCAAAAGAGGGCGATCTTTTACCTAACAACGACATCCCATGGGCGGGACATTTCGCTGGTTGACGCGCACCGTTCCTTGTGTGTGACGCACGTACACACGCGCAGTGGCTGCGCTTTGCGGGAAATGAATTGCAGTCAGGCAAGATACGCGCACCGTTCCTTGTGTGTGACGCACGTACACACGCGCAGTGGCCGCGCTTTGCGGCAAATGAATTGCAGTCAGGCAAGATGGCGTCGGTCGGTCACCCTCAACTGTACTTTCTTTGCCGGTGAGGGGGTGCTTGTGAACGGAGCAGATAGGGAGCACTTTTTGCCCTATACAACTCAAACTTTTTAACTTTCCTCATTTAATTGGTCAAATGCAATTAACTTTGACATCTAAATTCACAAGCCAATGTCTGATTTTTTTTTACAGAGACCAATGGAACACTCCAAAGGTCAGTATTGGCCCAATCCCGCATATTCCGGCCAATACTAGATCACACGGCCTATACGGGATATGATGATATCAACATTAATTTGTAACCAGTAAAATGATAATGGATGATGGAGTATTACGCAGACAATATTAGAAATGGTGTGTGGTTATATGACTTACTATAATCAATTAATTCACATGGTATGATTAAGGAGTTTGTGGTAAGATGTACTGATAGTGTGTATTATCCATGTTGATTTATAGGTGTATATCCATTTTAAATCTCCATTTATAAATACCTAGGACTGAGAGCCCGTCACGTGGCCGGTTTTAAACAATTGATAAAGACTGGCTGGCTGGACTTAAACACATTTTTAGTGTAGCGTGAAACTTTGACTCCTATGAAATCCAGTGCCTTTTACCGTTTTATTGATTACCTTCGGCTCGGGTAATAATCAGCATCTGGACTCCAACTGGTCTTAAACAGAGTGTTTAAAACCGGCCAATCACACTTTTATTCCCTTAATATAATATGTTCAAATTTTGTCTATATTACCTTATCTTATGGTGTATTATTATTATATTACTTATGTTTTATAAGCAAAAATGCACTTATAGCCGCCAGACGTTAGAGACAGAAGTAGTTCTTACATGATTAGACATCACCGATAGGAGCGATATGTAAACGCCTGTATCATATTAATGCATACATGCAGTATTTAGTAAGTATTCATTACAAGGTTGTGGTTCTAATTATAATTTGTATGAAATAGTTGTTTTATGTTTGCCTCATTATTAAAGTTGAAGTGATAATCGTTTCTGTACAGAAACTGAAATATATTTTACCTTTTACATAATTATAACATGATCAGTGTGGAAGGAACTTTCTAACAACACGTAAAGCTAATGCTGGTCTTGTCAAGAAAACGACATTAGATATGCATGTAATGGACCAATCAGGAGAGGGAAATCCCGATCAGTTACAGGGAAAAGAAACGGCAAATGATTATATTTTTGTAGCAGTTCAATTATGGACGATCGTATAATTATAACGTGAACAATATTAGAAATAATGTGTTTTTAAATACTTAAGTATACTTCAGTAATTCATTTTAGCATAATCAATTTATTCATGTAATGGTTATGGAGTTTGTGGTGAAACATGTACCGATGGTGTGTACAGAGTGTGCCAAAAAAGTGCAACATTCAGAAAACAGATAATTAAAACTGTTTAACGTTTTTTCTCTTCATAAAAGTTCTATATATCACATAAAAGCCTGACTATTTCTTAATCCACTCTCTTTTACCCCATTCAATTTGGGTCCCTAGATCCAGAAATACATTCAATTAAGTAGAAGGGTGTAAATTTTACTTGGGCCCCTCTATCTCACCTGGACATGCCGAATCTAGGTCATGCATTGAATAGGCATTGACTCACAAAAGAATTGTGCCTTATGAACAGTTCACGGATCCTATACACACAAGGATGAACGACACACGCCGCGCGTTTGTTCATAGTGTAAATCGAGCATTTTCTTTTATTCCTCTTCCGTTTTCCTTTGTTAATTCATTTTTTTGCAACAGCTCTCATTGGTTTTGTACACGTCTTCTAATCGAGGTCTTCCTCGATTTGGTTCCTGTCCTCAATTCATCGATGATGTTGCAGGTGTGTACATGTGCATGTCCTCGATTTGCACCATAAACACGCACTGCCAAACTCTTGGTTAGAAGCGCGAAAATGGCCCGTACAACTGTTCTGCCTATGACATTACACCAGGTTTCCGTTAAAGTGGCTTTTTTTTTTTGGTCAATGTTGCACTTTGTTGGCACAATCTGTATTATCCCTGTAGATTTAAGGTGTATATCTTAATTATGAATAACTGTGAAGCGCTTTGAGGCCTTTGGTATAAGGCGCTACAATAGCACCACATTAATTAAATCTTCAAATAATCAAGGGGGAAAATAGCGGCCTTGCTGTGATTCTCACCCTTGTCACAGAAGAGGACAAGAGACAGGAAGCCGACTCCAATTTTCATTCAAGTTCAGTCAGAAATGTATATTTAATACCTTTCATTGTAATCTTCTTCTTTTTTTTTACTGTACTAGAATCAATGTGATTGCGTTAAACGAATCACCCAAAACTTCAGTATATATTAGGTACCGGTACTTTACTTATTTTGTTATTATAATAAAAACAAATGGGTTCATTATTTTATGTGTGCGTTTATCTTTGTGCATGGTATTTCGCTTGTAATATATAACAATACGTATAGGCCTAGAGCTTCGGGATAGCAGCTCAACAAAATCATCTTGTCTCTCCGTTATTTCGTTAGTTAGTTAGTAACAAACGTTGACATTGTTTATTGCTCCTACATATTTTGACCGATTTCAACCAAACCTTGTCAAAAGTAGCAGTAGCCCTGCCCCAGCATGTCACATGACCAAAGTCACCAAACTAGGGTCAAAGGTCATCATGGGGTCCCTGGGGTCAAAAACCTGATTTCTTTTACTCACAAGCTACTTCCAGAAATGTCATGGCACGATCACGAGACTAATGCATGAACACGAATGCGTTGGTACGTCCACAGCTTCCGAGATATTCCGATCGAGATTGTTCCCCATCATCTTAGCCATATTATTCATTGCACTACCAAGTACATCGAAAGGAAATTATACAACACCTGAATAAATCCCCGTCATCTGATTGGTGGATCGTTGATCACATGTCATTGAAGTATTCGTACCAACGCACGGCGCGCGCATGGCACGCAGCGCAAAGTGCAACGGAAGTTCTATTTCACGGTGAATATAATTTCCATTGCACGGTGTCACTGCTGGTGGTGACGCTGTTTTAAATCGAGAAAAAAAATGAATATGAAGGTTCTCAACCTGTTGAACAGTTAAATATGATGAACTTGTCGAACTTTTAAACAGTTTTTAACCTGAATAAATTGGCTATTCAGGTGTTATATAAAACAAATAATGAATGTTTCACGTTCGTGCAATGGAAAGAATAATTTTATTCGGTGACAGATGCAATGTTTGAACATTTCATCTGTCACCTCATGAAATTATTCTTACAATTGCACTCACAAACATTCATTATCTGTATATTATAACACCTCACCCACAATTTATGTGTCTTGATTGGCCGAGAGCGAGTCACATGATACTTTATATTTTTGCTATCTTTCTGTGCACGGCCAAAAGTACTATACCATAGACCGCTTGCAGACGCGTTCGATAATTGACGCGCGAAGGTGCGCGACGCCATGTTGTGGGACAAAATGTGCATGGATAGATATGCGCTTGTCCCACAACATGGCGACGCGCGCCTTCGCGCGTCGATTATGGAACGCATCTGCAAGCGGTCTATTAGCAACCAAAGTACTATTTCCACGGCGCGGTATTTGTATGCGAATGCATGCTGGAGTGCGCGTTGCGCGTAGCGCGTTTTGTTCCAAAGAGAGCGCGCCACAGAGTTGGGTTCAAACATTTCGCGAAGGGGTAGTTTGGAAGAGAGAAATACATTTTCCACCAATTTTGTAATAAAATTGAAGTTTATTTCAACTGTGTTCAGATTTAAAAAATTATGCAGAATCTGTGGGTGATGTGTTATAAAACAAATATTGAATGCTATCTCGTCACGGTGGTTAAGTAAAACTATAGCCTCCCTCGGTGATCCATGGAGCATTCTATTTTCCCTCGGCTTCGGCCTCGGGAAAATAGAATGTCCATGGATCACCTCGGGAGGCTAGTTTTAGTACACCACTCGAAGCATTTAATATTTGTATACTATAGGCCAAAAAAAAGTCTCCGGTTTCTGGTATGCGCGCGCGTCGCCGTAGCCATGCGCGTCGGCAAAATGAAAAAGGTTTTTTTTTCAATACAAGATGATGTTTCAAAACCGCCAAACTCACTGGTTTGACTGGAATTCTGCTGCTGCACAATTTTAACGTGTTTTTAGATGGGGTTATGATCGAGAATAAGATTTATGTGGCCTCTCTGGACTCCCATATATTTGCACTAAGTTTAGTCGGGCACCATTTCCAGTCATCAGCCGACATTTGAACTTCAAATGTTGAAGCAAAAAAAAAAAAAAAAACAGGAAAAAAAAAAAAGCCGCGTCGCCGCACCACTTTTGGGGCAAGCTCCATACCAGAAACCGGAGACTTTTTTTTTTGGCCATATCTCGTGGTGAAGTAAAACTAGCCTCCCTCGGTGATCCATGGAGCATTCTATTTTCCCTCGGCTTCGGCCTCGGGAAAATAGAATGTCCATGGATCACCTTGGGAGGCTAGTTTTACTGCACCACTCGAAGCATTCAATATTTGTATACTTCTACCTGTAACCAACTTGCTCGTCTTCAGGCCCTCTCGCTATTCGTACTCTCTCATCATCGGTTTCTTAAAGTTGTCCTGAAGACCTACTTGTTCCAGAATACCCACAATATTTTGGTTTATGTTATTTGGTTGTTTTTGATTTTTCTAATTTGTCTCTCATTGTATTGCGACATGAGCGTTATTTTGGCGTATACCGGAGAGTTTTTGCCGTCATTACGGAGGCGCACGACATGAAGTGCAACCCCAAAACAATGAGGTAGAACCTTTGCGCACTTTTTCCTGGTGGACGTTATTTTTTCTTTGGGACTAAGCTTGAAAATCATTTCTTTTAACTGTCCCGTTCCCTATATTTTCTCACATAATATTTAATTAAGAAATTTTAGAAGAAAAGCCTAGCTCTCCGAGCGCCTTGATCCGTCAAATGAGGGCGCGATTTCTAGCTGTCAAGTACTAGACTGGTGCTTTCAATTGCTCCGTTCTTTTCATCAACGGCACGATGTATGATTCAGGAAACCTGTCCTGTGCCGCAATGTACAAAGCGGGAGGATTTCAATATTCCGATTGAAAAGAAAACTCAATAAAATCATCATCGGAGAGATGGATTTTACTTCAGGAAGTATATCCAGGCCGAGGGAAAGGGTGACGTTACAACAAGGTATCCCTTGCTGTTTTTGTGACTGGCGCTTAGAAGAATTGCCAGAGAAAACAGTCGGCCTGCTTTACCGACATGACCGACGCTTGTTACATAACCGGAGACCGGGAAGGGAGCACATGCACAGACGTGACAGAGCGTATCACCGACCGTATGCCGGCAATTTAGAGGCGAGAGACCGGCAAGTCCAGGGAGAAATCCAGGTGCAGAGGGATTGGATCGTGGATGACAAGGTCGGCTGGATGGTTACCGTCAAATGTTTTTTCCAGATCCATGCTGAAATAAGTACAGGTAAGAAACTCACCATTATTCATAGGCTATGTCATGTATGTAGGCATAGCACACAAAAAATTATTTATTGTGCAATATGTAAACAGACAGTGCCAATTGAAAGAGCTATGTGAAAGATGAATACTTATTTTTGTTTTTTGAAAATCGGTCAATGCATTCCAGAGTTATGGTAAATTAAAGTTCACCAAAATTAGCGAAATCCTGCCAAAAATGGAATAAAAGCCCAAAAAAGGAGTTTTTAAAAATTTTAACCAGCACTTTCAATATGTAGATTACTTCAAATAGTATTTCAAACACAGTATTTAGCAAAATGGCCACCTGGAAATGTACTACATCAAAAACCGAATGTATATAATTTTGTATGGCTGAGTCTCAGACCGTCAAAAGTGCCCGTTTTCCCAATTTCAAGAATGGAAACACTGGAAATGGTGCAAAAACGACTAAGTCCACCTCATTAATATGCGTAAACACTATAACTTTAGTTCTAAGTGGTCTATTGTGATGAAATTTGGTATGTAGGCTTTCTCTATCATGACGGGTCTACAAGCCCAATATGAAGTAAATACCTCCATAATTATGCAAATTAGCTTTGTGCAGCTAATTAATATGCGGAAACGTTATATCTTCATTTCCGAGTACCCTATTCTGATGAAAAATATATGCAAGCTATGTGTTTGAATATTGGAACAATTATTTAGAGAAAAGAAGTGATTTACATCATTAAGCAAATTGTTTAATATATTTAATGATGCCTTCGTTATTTAAATATGTATGTAGTAATTAAAATCAGTCCGGATCATTAAAATTACAAACCTAATCCAAAACAGAACCTTGCTTGTTTTATCTTTTGTATTGCCGCTTTACATTTTGTTATATAAATCACAGTTTCAAGAAATAAAAATAACACAAATATTTGTTTACATGATTTCTCAACCGTAGGTAAATTGTTTATTTCACAATACATTACAAAAAATTACTGTCATAAAATCCATTCAGTTAGTCCAAGGAGTAAGTGCGCAAATAACAATAGCCACAGTTTAGCCAAAACGCATGTGCTGTTTGCTGCGCAGATTTCACGAAACTGAATCAATCCAACACAACCGCATACCGCACAAACAGAACGCCCCTCGCATGAAACAGTCGTAGATAAGAGCGCCCACACACAACGCGGTGCGCGCACGTGCAATGCTCAACCAAGGCTGCTACATTCATGCTTCATGCCTCCCTTCACACGGCTCAACTCTGACCGTGTTTTTCAAGGATTTGTTTGGCCTTTTTCAGTCACCTAAAATGTATCGTTTTAAGAATAAATAGAATTCAATCTTCTCCACGAAAGTCACCAAGCACTTCTTTTTCTTACCAGGGCATTTGTAATCATAAACTAGTTCAGAAACTTGGCCAGCAATCGCTCAAGTAGATGCGAGAATCTCGCCGCGACATCGACAGTGTCATCCGTATACACACCGTTTGGTCACGCTTCTTGTCATTTTCAAAACTGACGCAAGGAAAAACTCGCTGTAGTTTTTCTCAAATGGACAGGACTTCCACTCAAGTATTTGATGATCTGTAAGGATGAGGTGATAGAGCAACTTCTCCACAATAGTGCGGTGCTTCTTTCTTCTCGAAATTGTGGAAACTTCAATTTTTACGGGAGGGTTTTCTTTGCACAAAATCTACGCTTCAAACTTTCGAAACTGACGGGTAAGCTCCAAGAAAGAAGTGTGATGATAATGTCAAAGGTCATGTCTACCATATTTGGAAGTTTCATGCTCAAACAAGGAGCGGAAGGCCTGTCCAAGACCATTTCAATATAGGGGGTTTTGCGCTTCGTTTCTGAGCTGCGCGCGAAGGGAATAAAAGATCCTGCGTGACTGTAGCGCGTAATGATGGTGTATTTTATAAGTTCGATTATTGTCGCTGCATTTTATTTATTATGTACTTTAAAAATATACAAATATAAAAGAAATGACACACTATTCACACAAGATAATCTATTCACAAAAAATAATCTTGATTGGTTTATTGACTCTAAAATGAGACGATCTTGAAAAGTGCACTGCATCATATGTCGCGGTCACTACGTGCGTACGGCAGACTGTATGTTGGGCCAGAGTGCTATGCCTAATGTATGTCTAGCTTGAGTAACTCTAGCCCTACAAACATGGCGGTATATGGCTCTCTTTTAAAATCTGTCTTGTTACTGTCGCCATTACCGAAAAATCTGCTAAATCGGCTAGAACATCCTGATCGCGTCGCCCTGCACGCGCTCCACTCGTGGGCACATGCAGTGTGGGGTCGCACTAAAAAGCATCAACACAGCGTCAACACAGCGTCAACACATGACAGAAGCGTCAACACACCGTCAACACATCCAAAACACATTCTGAATTGACAAAAATGGTATATAATTGTAAAGCATAGAATAAAAGAGATTTTCCATTGGATTGAGTTTCCATTTCGTGGTAACAAATATAGTATTTTCACGCGAAAAAAATGACCTTTCACTTGCACGGCCGTTGTCCGCCATCTTGACTTCGCACAAAGCTTGGACTACACCATTTCAAGTAGGGGTGTGTAGGTAATGACATTATCGTGTCATAAACATTAACAGAGGGATACCAGATCTGTAAGGACTGAGGATCGGAGTGGTGGATCATTAATTTGTGAGTTGTGTTTATGTTTCATTTTATACTTTATTGAAATGGACATCTTTTGGTATTGGCCGGCCGCGCCCTCTCTGTTGGTTTATTGTACAACGTTGTCACCCTTTAGCATAATGGTATGGTCTACCGAGGCAACATGGCAGCCGATTTCGGAGGGGCACGGAGAGCCAATATTCTTGAACGGATAATCGCAATTTTCAGACGCTTAACAGACGTTTAACCTATTAATTTTAAGCCAAATCTTGTTTCTGTCCATAATGTATGGGTTACATACTGCTTTTGTCACTTTTGATGCATTTTGGATGTGTTGACGCTGTGTTGACGCTTTGGAGTGTGTTGACGCTGTGTTGACGCTTTTTAGTATGACCGGCAGTGTGCGCGATGCATGTGGGTACCATACCGCTTTCAAGCGCCGCTAGTGGGTTCCATTTTCGTCTGGTGCCATGTCGTGGATGATCTAGCCGATTTAGCAGATTTTTGGCACCAGACGAAAATGGAACCCACTAGCGGCGCTTGAAAGCGGTATGGTACCCACATGCATCGCGCACACTGCATGTGCCCACGAGTGGAGCGCGCGCAAGGCGACGCGATCAGGATGATCTAGCCGATTTAGCAGATTTTTTTCGATTGTTTAGGTCACGTGTGAGTGTGCCGTGCGCAAATTAACCGATCATCATGGACGACAGCATTGGTACTGCACGGATTTAACGGATAAGTCAACAAATTCATCAATAATGTTCATATTTTAGTTTTTTGGTCGGTGTCAAGTCGATCAGTAGCTTCGTGAATGACTGCTGAATGGTATGAGGTAGGTAGTAGGAATCTGGGGTGGGATAAAAGAGGTGAAATTTGGACAATTTTGGAGAGGCCGTTTTTTGGGGGTCTCTTGCTACCACATAAAACCAACAGACCACTCCTCCAGCGCTACATGTGAATGAATATGAGCATGTCAGCTGGAGTTACTCAAGCTGGGCTATGTCTATCAGTATCAATCATTTAAATAAAAATAGTGGACTTCCTCCAGACTGACTGGGACCTTGACTTGGGTGCAGAAAAAAACATGCAAAACAAATTCAGGCCAACTTGACTGACTCTTTATCTGACAAAATTCTCAAAGGTTTTGAGGCAGTGGCGCATCCACGATTTGGCTTTTGGGGCGGCTAACAATTGTTTTTGCACAAAATAATGTGGGTTTTTTTTTGGGGGGGGGGGATAGCCCCACTAGTGTGGCCGTCGGTATGCTGCGCTGAACCTAAGGCCACACACCGTGGTCCGCGCACTACTGAGGACGTTTTCATAAAAAACTGCGGTCCGTTTCTTACATATGGTTGTATTCTATGATGTTTCATCTATCACTTCTGAGATGCTTAGGTGTAATGATGTTCAATTTTCCGAGATATTCTTGAATCTTTCTGGAGCCCATATGCACTCGTAAAACGTCTGGTGATGGCAGCCATTTTGAATGTGACGAGAGATGACCTCAAGCTGTGACGTCGCGTTTATGCAAATTGCTTGTCGAGCGCGAGGGCGCGAGTTGCAAATGCGACGGCTGTTTCCTTTGCCGTAGATCCTGAATCGAGATCAGTGAACGTGGCCCCCAGAAGATAAATGCATGGTACAGGAAACAGCCGTCGCATTTGCAACTTGCGCCCTCGCTCGACAAGCAATTTGCATAAACGCGACGTCACATAAAATAGCTGCCAAAAAAATACACGAAACAGTAGTTAATGCCTGTAGATTAATCCGCATAAACCATCAAAAATTAATCACAGCAGTAGTGTTGTTTATTGGCCTCCGTACGTTTTAATCCGCGGCAGAGTATCTGGCCGAATACGTGGCTACCTTTACGCATGTGGCACAGCCGCTAAAACAAACCGAAAGAATACAGTATCCACACGCCACTTCAGCCAGCGGTTGTGTACAAAGTCCATGGAGAGTGCGGCACTGTGCGTGCAATTGCCTGTCAACGTCAGCCAGGGTGACCGTAAGGTCAGAGCCAAGTTCTGCTAAATGCACATCAGAAATCTGTCAGATTCATTAAAAATCTGCCAAATTCCCCAGAATTACTCAAAATACACTATAAACACTTAAAATCACATCCAGATTTGTAGTATTGCCTTAATTACGATTCAATTTATAAACAATCTACAGTCACATAAAAATGTTGTGAAATTATTGGTAAATTTCGGGCAAAACGCGGATCCGGCCATCGGACGAAGTCCGTTTCCCAGTGAACCTCAGCACCTAGACTAGCCAACCTGTCCCATTATGCAAGAGTTTGTTTGAAAGGATTGAAGCTTTTTCAAACAAATGTACAAATTTTACTGTTTTTCTGTCAAATAACAGTAGTATATGTGGAGCATTTCGACCCCCGTTGAGGCCACATTTGTGTGGGAGGCCTGAGGTTGCGTGAGGCATGGGAGGCCTGAGTCGCGTGAGGCATCGAGGTGGGTCGGACCCCAGCTGAGGCGGTATTTGGGGGTCCACCCGTTGAGGTGGAGTTTGGGGTACAGGCGTGAAATGGATCGTAAGACAACATCGGCCGTATGACGTCACGTTGGCGACGTCACGGACACGTTTCGACAAGACCGGACAAGTTGAAACATGAAAAATATGTGTTGGTTGCTGATTGGTTGACCGGTAAGCGGTGATGATGCAATGTGGATACAATACGCGTTACTGGAGTGTATAAAAACTGGAGCTGTTGGGATTGGGAATCATTTGCTAACCAACGTCCGAAGACATCAGAATTTCTGACTGGTATTGTCAAAACGAACTACAAAAATGGCTGCAACAATGGGACACATCGCACCACCATCACCGCCAACGAGTGAAATGGCTACCGGATCGCCTGACGGTGTAAAGAAGTTATCTCACGCTCAAGTTAAAAGAGGATGGCGCGAAGGTTTCAGCACGAATGAGAAGAGAGCGTACTACTATAACATTATTACCCGAGAAAGTGTGTGGTCTATACCGACCATCCTGCCGTCGATAGAGGAGGAGAGCCAAGCGGACTCCGGACCTGCACCAGATATGTTGGCGGCCGCCATGGCGGAGTTGTCCGGGAACCTACCCATGGATCTCTCCCGGCCCCGTTCGTCAAGGGAAAACGCGAGAAGAGGAAGTTCACCCCAGACCCGGACCACGAGGAAAACGAGAGGAACGCCGTCAGATTTCATATTGGAGGTGAGCGGTATGCCTATGTGAAACGTTTTAAGAGCCGTGTCTACGTTAACATTCGAGAGTACTACTACAACGAGAACAAAACTAAGCTACTGGCGGGTAAAAAAGGGCTGAATTTGACCGCCGAGGAGTGGACGAAGTTGATCGATCAAAGAAAGGCAATCGCAGAGGCTATAGATTTGGTCTAGATCTCTTCTTTACCACAACCTCAGTTTTATTTTATTTTTTTCCCTTAAACTCTTTACACAGACCCCACAAACAACGACATTGTTGGACGACGAGACAGAGCGAGAACACTCACCAAGCGGATCTTGACTAAGTTCATCATGGACGATGTGCTCAAGCTTGTCTACCACGCACAAGGCCAGCTGGGTTGCGAGGGATGTGAGAAAGACTGGCCCAGTCAATGGGACCACGCATGCCTGTTTTTTGGAGTGAATCCTGAAAATCGCATAGATGATTTTGTGCCCCTGCACATCGAGGAAGTAATGGCATCGTTAAACGTCAGTAGAGTGCGCCCGGTGTTTCATGCAGTCGTTAGTCTTTTGGGAGGCGGTTCAGTCATTGGAGCGGGGATGGACTTGGACACCGATTTGAGTTCCATGATTGAAGACATTTTAAATGAATGGAAAGACGACTTAGAAGAAATTGGATTTTCATTTTATTCGTCCTTGTTCGATAACACTACTGAACTCATTCAAAACGTAGTGGAGAATATCGAGTAAATAGTCATTGACCAGTGATATCATGCACTTAGTTATAGTTTTTTCAGCCAAAAGATGGAGGCGAAAGATCCCGAGAAGAAAATCCCCTCCACCGCGGCAAAGGCCACGACTCTCTCACCGTAGGTGGACGTTTCCGAATTAATCCAGTTTAGCGCCCAGTCAGCCTTTTGTTTGATGCAAGGTAGCGTCTCAATGGCGTTAAACAAAAAAGTCCTGCGTAAAAGAAATTAATACGTAACTTTAAAAAAATATATAAATAAATTACGAAATGAACAATAAGTATATGAAAAGTCAATCCCCCCCTCCTCATACGTGCCTACAAAAAAACAGATAGTTAAACACCCACCTCTCTTCCGGGTATCTGATGTAGGTGTCGATCAACAAGCTGTACATTTCCGAGTGAATGTTCTCCATGGTGAACTGAAACCCGTAGAAGCATCGCGCCTCAAGTACCTGAACCTCTCGAGTAAAACGCTGAAGGAGGTTTTCGTTTACAATGCCGTCGCTGGCCGCGAAGAAAGCCAAAACGTGAGAGATGAATTTTCTCTCCTCCCGCTTGAGAGATTCCCAGTGTGGTAGGTCCTTCGAGAGATCAACTTCTTCGACCGTCCAGAATGAAGCTTTTGCTTTCTTGTACATTAACCAAATATCCTACAATTAAAAGGGAGGAAAATTGGATCAGACATTTTCCCCGTTTTTTGTTGTTGTTGTTGTTGGGTTTTTTTTTTTTTTTTTATTATTACTAGTATTAATTTTGATATAGCAATAGTTATACGCTCAAGTTGAAATAAGTACGTTTTGCTTCTGGTATAATGCCGCTTACCTCATATTGAATAGGGAAAAGGACAAACCGATGGGTGGTCTCACAAAGAAAAGGTTCCACTTGAAGTAAATCTTGGTTTTCGTCCACATCATTACAAGATGAAGAGTAGGAATCGAATTTGCTTTGAGCCATATTGACGACAGCAGCAAGACTGAGGGTACAAGCGAGCTTTGAAAATAAGAACTTTAAGCGGTTCGTCTATATACCCCAAAATGTGTCTCTTTTATTAACGCTTTCGATGATACATTCGCGCAACTAGTAATGTTTATATGCTGGTGGTGGGTAATGTTTAGTCCAGAGCATAACTAGATAACTGCATTCCCGCGGGCGGGCTCGCGCAACAGCTGGCGATGGGTAATCAGAGCAACACTAAGACAAACAGCTCGGTAAAGAACTTTATATTTACGCGGGTGGGCTCCTGCAGACTCCACTGCCGAAAAAAATAAATAATAATAATTATACGCGGGCAGTCTTGCCAACGAAGGCGGGTATGGACTTGTCTTAAGGAGCGCAACAGCTGGCGATGGGTAATCAGAGCAACACTAAGACAAACAGCTCAGTAATAAGGAGCGCAACAGCTGGCGATGGGTAATCAGAGCAACACTAAGACAAACAGCTCGGTAATAAGGAGTGCAACAGCTGGCGATGGGTAATCAGAGCAACACTAAGACAAACAGCTCGGTAAAGAACTTTGTATTTACGCGGGTGGGCTCCTGCAGACTCCACTGCCGAAAAAATAAATAATAATAATTATACGCGGGCAGTCTTGCCAACGAAGGCGGGTATGGACTTGTCTTAAGAGAAACTCATTAACGAACTTTGCTTCGAAAGATTTTAATATTCATAGAGTAGGAGGCGAGAGGTGATGTGTAACGAACTTTGCTTCGAAAGATTTTAATATTCATAGAGTAGGAGGTGAGAGGTGATGTGCAGAGACTAGCTTGCGCGTGGTTGGATGGGAGAGATGGAAAGCTGTTATGCAAAGGAGGCCGCACACTGAGACCAAAATATTCGCCATCGATTCACCAAGAGGCTGCAATCATCATTTTCTTTCGAACAACACTCGACCGTCAACGCACCTATCATGAATCAGCCTTGGGACAGCCCTGACTACACCAATAGCCAACTGAAGGAGATTCAAAGAATGGAGGACGACTTAACCAACAACGAACCCAACGTGTTACAGTCGTTTGAAAGTCCCGATTACACCGCAAGCCAGCTGGATGAGACCGTCAACGCACCTATCATGAATCAGCCTTGGGACAGCCCTGACTACACCGATAGCCAACTGGAGGAGATTCAAAGAATGGAGGACGACTTAACCAACAACGAACCCAACGTGTTACAGCCGTTTGAAAGTCCCGATTACACCGCAAGCCAGCTGGATGAGATCCAAAGAATCGCCGATGAGATGTACATGTATAACAAAGTAAGGGCATTATCTTTGCTTTCTTTAGCGAATCGCTGCATACTATACGCGACTAGTACACTGTTGTCGGCATTATTGTAATTTCACGAATTGCTTTACCAATGCCGTTCAGCCAAAACACACTGAAAAAAAAAAAAAAAAAAACCCACACAGATAATCGTTAGTAAATTAATATTGTCACTAAATCTTGTTATCCACTTCCCCCCCCCTCTCTGTTGTATTGGGAACCTTTGGTCGTACCCTCAAAGAAGCTGCAGATGGGAAGACAGCCCAGTCTCCACGAATGTTTAATCTGCTCGAAAACAATCTCCCGAATGGACACACTTCGACGTCATAAGAAAATTCATGTCGGTGAGAAGAATGTGGTTTGTCCAATATGTAGCGCCACATTCCAACGCAAAGACAACATGAAGCGTCACCTGCGCACGCAACACGGGAAAACATCTACTCGTTGGGAGGACAAGCCCGGATGCAGCCACTGGCCCGACCCACCGCCACCAACCCCGGCTCAACCCACGCTCGAAGTCGATCGTCCTACCGTTGCGGCATCTTCTCGTTCGGAGGACCAGCCCGGATGCAGCCACTGGCCCGACCCACCGCCACCAACCCCGGCTCAACCCACGCTCGAAGTCGATCGTCCTACCGTTGCGGCATCTTCTCGTTCGGAGGACCAGCCCGGATGCAGCCACTGGCCCGACCCACCGCCACCAACCCCGGCTCAACCCGCAACCAAGAAACGCAATGATCCACCAAGGTGTCCTGCATGCGGTAAGACGTTTAGTCGCGCAGACTCTTTGAAACGTCATTTTATCACATTTCACCGCAGGACATCTCCTGCAACGCCTCAACCGGTGAATAGCGATGACCCACCGCAAAATCCGAACCCTCAATCTCCGGTCAGTGATATTGATGATCAGCAAAATCCGAACCCTCAATCTCCGGTCAATGATATCGATGATGTACTCCGTGAGGACACTTTGGACTTTTCCCAAGCAAGTATGCAAAATGCAGATGAACTTGCTCCCATTTACCGTACAAACTGGAGCACCATCAGAACACGCCTCATAACGGGGAGGCCGGTACAGGACATCTACAACATCAGGATGTCACGGCCTGGTGCGAACATCCGGAGAATTTTGGAGGCTGTATTTCAACGATTGACGTGTCGCGCCAAAATAAGCCTGTCATTTGGCTTCATCCTGCGCCACACGGAAACCGGCGAACTGCGGTACTTTCATCCCAGCGACAATAACGCAAGCTTTCCGTCCACCCCCGTTACCATCAGCTCTCGGGATGACATCGAACATCTGATCGCCCAGTTTGAAAATGCGGACATTTTAGAATTCATTCGACAACAGCGCCCAAACACCAAATGGACAGTGGTGTTTATGACCAATGTCGCGGTATATGTCAACAAAATGCCGCAATTTTACATTGGCGCGCCACCGCCTCACGTTCCCGACTACATCAAACACAATTGACTCTATGACGCATAATGCCCACAGCGGACAACAGTATACGGACAATCTCTGTTTTTTCAGAAGTTTGGCTCGTCATCGCGGCGCACAGCTGCAAGCGCTGGAAAGACCAACGCGTGAACTCGCCCAGAGATTCACAGAGGCAACTGAAAAGGATGTCTCTCAAGGGTTCACCATGGAGGATTTGGCGGCGACGGAAAGAGTTTTTGAAGTGGGGATTCAGGTGTACGGCTTGAGACCCAACGCCGGAGATGACGGTGCGCCCGTAACAAAGGTACATCTTATACGCTGATCCCCCACTCGATTCACCTCTGTCCTATATCTCAACCTTTTCGAAAACCATTTTTCGTACATTTCGGAGATGAAACATTACAGCCAAACCTTTGAATGTAAGAAGTGCAGGATGATGTTCACGCGCTCCTACAATCTACACAGACATGAACCGATTTGCGCGGTGAATGTGAACCACAAGTTTCCCGGCGGCATCTACCGCCTACCACAAACTATTTTCGACAAATTAGAAGAGGCGGGCATTACTGTTGGTGACGAGTTGAGATTTTGTCCCTATAGAGCAACCTACGATTATGAATGTTATTTTGAACAAGTAGATGATGGAGGCGTTGGACAGGGACAGAAGCTGACCTGGTGCAATCGGCACGAACTGCTCAGCGTGAGTGTCGCCAGCAATGTCCCGAGTTTTGAATCGCCAAAATGTTTTGTCTCTGAGGGGGATCCCGGTGACTTGGTGCGACGCATGGTTGAATATCTGCACGAGATCAGCGAGGTAGCGTGCGCGACGATGACCGAGGAGTTTGCGGAGGTGTTTGACCGCATCCAAGAACTTATAGACGAAGAACAACAACCAGAGCAACAACGGCAACGGGAACAGAGTCGTCGCCCGTCCAAAAAGCGTCCAGGGTTGAGTCTGCAAACCGATCTGGAGCAGTATCTCCAAGAATTGCCCGTAATTGGTTTTAATTCGAGCAAGTACGATATGAACGTGATAAAGAAACACCTGTACAAAGCGCTGCCAGAGACGGACGACGCTGTAGAGATGGTAATTAAGAGAGGCGGCTCGTATATGGCATTGAAGACGAACTATCTAAAATTTCTGGACATTTCAAACTATCTTGCTCCCGGGTATTCGTACGAAAAGTTCTTGAAAGCGTACAATTGCTCAATGGACAAGGGTTTTTTCCCGTACGAATACGTAACCAGTCTAGACAAATTAGATGACGCTGCACTCCCACCTCACGCTGCCTTTTACAGTGCTTTGAAGGGGACAAACATTTTGGAGAACGACTACAAATATTGCCAACAGATCTGGAGGGAACAAAATATGACATCTCTCAAAGATCTGCTGGTGTGGTACAACAATCTAGACGTGGTCCCTTTTCTAGAGGCAGTGGAAAAAATGTTCGCCTTCTACAAGGAGAGGCGCATGGACATGTTCAAATCCGCCATCTCTGTGCCGGGGCTATCGCTACAGTATCTGTTTCTCGGGCTTCCCGACGACGTCTGTTTCAGTCTAATCGACGAACCCAACCATGACCTCTACTACTCCCTGAAAAAAAACATCGTGGGCGGTCCATCGATCATCTTCCACCGCTACCACAAAAAAAAACAACTAACATCCGCGGAGGTACCAAGCCGTGTCAAAACATCGTGGGGTTTGACGCAAACGCGTTGTATCTGTGGTCCCTCATGCAGCCAATGCCGGTCGGTACTTTTATCAGGAGGAAGGAGGACCGTAATTTTGCCCCCTTTTCCAGCCACAAGTACGGGGCCATGGCTGGCGAGTGGTTAGCGTGGGTGGCCCATCGTGACGGTGTCTACATCCGTCACCAGTTTAACAACACGGAGAAGCGTGTGGGAGACTTTCAGATTCCGGTGGACGGTTACTGCAAAGACACAAACACCGTG